ACAAGAAACTTCTTACACAGTTTCCCCATTATCTTATAAAAAGCAATAGACCACTTACCTATAAGTATTATAGAAAGTCAACGTCCGATTTGGTTTACGGCTATAATTATCGGTAATATCCCCTATTTCACCGACAGGAACTCGAGATTATACCACAAAACCCAACAAACTAATAAACGCAAAGTAAATTATCGTGTTTTCTATAGGTACGAATTGAAATAATTCGGAACTGGGCGATCGAAATATTCACTACCTTGTGAAAGTTAAATGCAGTACAACACTTTGATATGATATTGTATAACATTGAATCCCTCTGCATTTGTAACGATGTCGCTTACACAAGCTGCAAACCATTTTAAGATTTTGTACGTGACAAACATGGACACAAAACTTACCTTTGGCGTGCGAATGGTCTCTTGGTTTACAATTTTAGAAAGATTCAAATAAGTATAGGTAAAGATGAATAGGTAACAATCCGTAAATAAAGGAAAATTTTATAGCTTGGCTAAAAGTGAATATCAAATTTCTAATTACTCCGCTGGTATAAGTATAATAATAAAAATATGTAAATAATATCCAAACACTTTGCCTTTTTTATTGTTTTAATTTGTTATTTTACGACTAATTAGGAGGTATTGTGTTCTTTTACGAGTTACTTAAAGTACCTATTCAAATTTTCATATGCATATTAATGATATAGATAAAGATAAGGCGTAACAATACATACATATAAGTGCGGAAAGTACCTCTATAGTACCTATTTATATATTTACCTACCAGGAAATAGGAATTCATTATCTACCTACCAACGCTGAGCTATAGGTAACTAATTACGAGGATACCTATATGTCTAGACTAATGTAATGAGATCGGACAGACCATTACAGTACTGCAATAGTGTGGCCACGCATAGTGCATACGTAGAGTAATGGTACTGCAAATAACGATACGGAGGAAATAGCCAATGAAGGTCGCAGAAAATTAACATTAATTGTTTACTATTAAGAATAGTAAAGGTCCCTTTACTTGAATGACTACAATTTTGCAATTTGCATTACAATGCATCCAATACCTACGTAAGTTTTTTCTTTTCAAAATTTTCGTCATGTTGAAGTGTAAATTGTTAGTGATGCTGAAATTGCAAAACAAATCTGGAAGAAAATCAAGATTCATGCGTTGTCGAAGATGTGTCGCCACTTAACGCCCAAATCTTGCAGATCTTTATCCTACAAACAATCTGAAGAACATTTCTTTAACAAGATCAGTTTAATTGAACACATCCGTGATTCGTTATCTAGACCGAAAATTCCTAACTTACTTTTTTTTACTACAACATCAAAAATTTGCGATTGATATTTTTTCTATAAGAAAATTTGTTTCCCGGGTCGATCTGAGACAATTTTTTTGCGGGCCTCAAAAAAACGCAGTGTATAACTTTCCTTTTTTCCAAAAATCGACTGCACCAAAATTTCTCGGGAAAACACTTTTTCTTATTAATTTTGGTGCGTAGAATCCAAAACAATTCGTACTTTTTCGATCAGACTTCTCAATCCAAAGTTTTAGACTAGAAACCAATTTCGAAAAAAAAATTCAAAGGGCTGTAACTTTTGAACTAGTAGCCCAATCTTGGAACTGTTTGAAATTATGGATTCTACAGGCCACATTCTATAAGAAAATTTTTTTCCGGATCGATCTGAGACCATTTTTTTGCGGGCCTCAAAAAAAGGCAGTGTATTAACCTTCCTTTTTTACCAAAAATCGACTACACCAAAATTTCTCGGGAAAACACTTTTTCTTATTAATTTTGGTGCGTAGAATCCAAAACAATTCGTAATTTTTCGATCAGACTTCTCAATCAAAAGTTATAGACTAGAAACCAATTTCGAAAGAAAATTCAATGGGCTGTAACTTTTGAACTAGTGGCCCAATCTTGGAACTGTTTGAAATTATGGATTCTACAGGCCACGTTCTATAAGAAAAAAATTTTTTCCGGGACGATCTGAGACAATTTTTTTTCGAGACAAAAAAAAGGCAGTGTATAACCTTCCTTTTTTCCAAAAATCGACTGCACCAAAATTTCTCGGGAAAACATTTTTTCTTATTAATTTTGGTGCGTAGAATCCAAAACAATTCGTAATTTTTCGATCAGACTTCTCAATCAAAAGTTATAAACTAGAAACCAATTTCGAAAGAAAATTCAGAGGGCTCATTTGAAGGACCAGGATTCAATTTACTACGTCCATTTGGCAATATATTGCCAGAGCTGCCGTTGTCATTGAAGGAAATGGTACAAATTTATATTGAAATTGGCAAATTAAATCATGTACGCTTCTTTAATAAACCTCAATGGAAAATTCGTCTAGGAAGAAATATTAATATTTAAAATGATAGCTAATTTTTGTTTAAATTTAGACTAAATCGTTTAGACACAAAAATTAAAAGTAGGTTAGTACGTGAGTAGGGCGAGTACGGTAAATTTGAATTTGTGCGGGAGATTTGAATTTTTGAATTTCCGGATGTCTGCCATTTTCTCTTAAGTTTGAATTTGTGTGGGATATACAGGGTGTAATGATACTTATATACCTACAGGGATTTGTAATGTAGGCAGACCAGTTGGTTGTCGCATGTAAAAGCACGTTTTACATTCAAAACAGTATTTAAGGAAATAATTCATGGGGGGGGGTGGGGGCTCTTGAGACAACGAAATTTGTTGACCGTCTGACATACCTTCAAGGTACAGGCTACATATTGCAAACCTAAAAGTAGTTCAAAACCTGAGAAGTGGGTCCGGACCAATTTAAGGTCCGGACGGGCGAACAGACGGACGGACAAACGCAAACAATAACACATTTTTATTGGTTCTTAAAAAATGCGCTAAAATTATGCAAAAGAAGCTAACAGTAACGATTACGGGACCGACAAGTAAAAAGTAGAAAATTGTTTTGTTTACTAACAAAAGGCGCCTACTTAACTTAATCCTCTTTGTAGACAAACCGGTACGTACATACAGTGTGTCCCAGGTAGAACGCGCCACAGGGAAACGGCAATGTATTTTTTCGTGAAGGATCCACGAGGCATTTGAAATTAGCGCAATAACGTACGTTGAAGGCTAACTTCAAATACATATCAAAGGCCTCGTGGATCCTTCACGAAAAAATACATTGCCGTTTCCCTATGGTGCGTTCTACCCGGCACATACGGTATACAGAGTGTCTTAAATTGAGTAGGATAACATGCCTATCTTTGTTATTATTATACTTACAGATTTGGTTAAATTGCTAACGTTGTGTAGTTTTTGATGGTAATGGATATTCCGATGCGAGATTTTGAAAAAAATAAATTGTTATTCGTAGATAACTGGAAAAAGAGAAAAATCGCCATTTTTTAAAAATTCAAATATTTTAGTAACAAAGACAGCTAGGTATCGAAAAAGTTTCAAATAAAAGTTGCAAGATTCAATGTGATAAATTCAATGGGCTATCTTATTTTAAATGGATGCCATATTTGATTCTTACGTCACTCGATAGAGAAAAAAAATTACAAAATCAGTGATACTAAACACTTAGTATTTCATTTAGGAATCAATCTTACATTTTTGCCCCAAAGTTTACAATGCATTTCTTATGGTAATAATTCCATGGCCATGTCGATGGTGACTATGCGAGACAATAAACGAACGAATTTAGTTTTAATCACAATCGGCCATGGAATTATTGCCATAAAAAATACATTGTAAAGTTCGAGGCAAAAATGCAAGCTTGATTTCCAAATGAAATACCAAGTGTTTAGTATCACTGGTTTTGTAATTTTTTTGTCTATCGAGTAACGTAAAAATCCAATATCGCGTCTATTAAAATAAGGAAGTTGATGTCAATATCTCGAAACCCGCCATTTTGGAAAACAATTTTCTACGTCCATTGAATTTATTTGATTGAATCGTGCAGTTTTTATTTGAAACTTTTTTCGATAGCTCTCTTTGTTACTAAAATCTTTAAACTTTTTTAAAATGGCGATTTTCACCTGCAATAATCTACGAAACGAAATTTTTTTTCAAAATATCGCAACGGAATATCTAGGTACAGCATCAAAAACTACACACCTTTGCCAATTTAACCGAATTTGTAAGTATAATAATAACAAAAGATAGCCATGTTATCCTACTCAATTTAAGACACCTTGTATAGATACCTTTAATTATTGTGCTAGAGTCGAAGTTACGCGCTAAAATTCGATTTAAATATTCGCGGTTCCCGAATGTATTTCTCAAAAAAAGACGCCTCTAGCCACGGAGGAAATCAAAGATTGTGCTTTGTTTTATTTCTGCGGACCACGTGTGTTTCTCTGCCCTACATTCAAATGGGCCATAATTTGCAATAAAAGTTTTATAATTATGCTGATCATATTCCTGCAGAAATCCGGCAAGATTGTCTATGTAAAGATGTTGCTTTTCCAATTTACAGTATCGCCGTAGTTAGACAAGTGGGCCATTGTTTGTAAAACTGGTTTTACTCCCAACCCTCATATAAATTCCTGTCAGATTTACGTGTTTTTATTTGTATTTAGATACAGTATGTTCTCTTTGGGATGATATTCAATACTTCTGTGGCCAACTAAACGATATAATTAATTTTGTAGTAATTCGTTGATGGTTGCTGCATCTGGAGTATCGACATTAAATTGTGTATTTATAATTGATTTGTTGGAGCAGGTCCAATTGTCACTGTTTACTTATCACGCAAGTTGTGTGTTCATTCGAACCCTTTTCTACTTAACAAGAAACAGAGAAGTTTCATGTTCAATTACAGTTACAGTTACTCTACTGTTGTCAGCCCTGATTTGGCTCTCCTTCTCTTGTTGAAATCAAGGCAACCCGTTTATTATGAAAACCTTTGGGTATCGGGCACCTATGGTGAAATGTGAGCAAAATATCTACCTGTTTCCATATGCATCAGGAAAGATGTAATTTTTATACTTACCTTTCATTAATCAAATACATAGGATAATTATATAAAATGTATATTAAGTGCTTAATATAAATAGGAAACGTAAATAATACAAAACAAAAACTTCTGTAACAATAAATAGGTACGTGCGTACGTTAAGCACATAAGCTTATTACTTACTGGTTCCACTCCTCAGTGGAAGTTTACATGCGTTACCTTGCGATCTACGCATTTTAATTCTGTTTTGCAACGTGCTTAGCAGTCCTCCAAGCACATCGTGATTAGGTAATTTCTTAGCGAATAAAAGTCTCTTGACAGAGTCGTCATACGTTAACAGTGCGACCATGTTTTGCAACAGAAAGCTTTGGCAATACTCTAACAGTTGAATTGCGTTATATACTTTTGCGTGTATGTACATAGAAACGACATTATCCAACACTAAAATCGCGGCACATCGCCCTTCGCAATATCTCAGTAGACCTTCCAGTTGAAAAAAATTTGCAGCCGCCATAAGCTCCAAGATGTCCTCGGGCGCTGGTTCCAAATCTTTACATCCCCCTTGGTAAAGAAATTGCATAACAATCTGAAACGTTTAGTGCTAATTATTACCTTCATGAAGGCAAGCACATATTACTTGAAAAATGTGATAACGAATGTCGTTAATTTGAACTGTGGGAGTGCCTCCTTCGCACAACTTTGAGCTCAGCATCGCTCGTAATCGGGGGCTTGCTGTAACGAGTACTATTTTGTGGGCGTAGAATAAACGTCCTTCCACTTTGAATGTCACGTCGCTTAGTTCTGGATTGTTGACATACTTGGGGTCAATCCGAGAACCTACACTGCTGCTTGGAACGCAATCGCGAACCGGTTTGATAGGTTCCCACCCGAAACAGGTAGAAAAAATATCGGCCAACAATAGCGTGGTGCCCTCTTTCTAGAATTGAGAGGAGTATAAACCAGATCAGGTAATCGGTAGTTACCTTGCTGTAACGGAATATATTGAACAGTAATGGTAGACATTCTTGTACAAATTGCGAACTATAATCGTCGGGACACACTTGGAGAAAGTCTTGCAATAGCTGATCTATCACGCAATCTAGTCTGGCTTCGTGAGCCGCTCCCAGTGAGTGCATCCAACAATGAAGAGACCACGTTACTCCCAACGTGCGAATTTCCACGGTGATATCAAGGTGATTATTTTCTGCGCTGTGGTACATGGTCTCTTGTAATATCTTCATTTGCATTTTATTAAATTGTGGGGTAGAGCTTGAGGAACTTGACCCATTGTCTTTTGTGGATGTTCCTAAAAATTAAGGTAACACGCCTTATTGTTTCCAGTTACTGATAATACCTTCGGCTAACATCTCTTCTAAAGATAGTACGTCTCTGTTTACTGTGGTTATAGGTTGAGCGACTAGTTTTTGCAAAATGGCACGTTGACCGTGGGCCGCGGCAACAGACAAGGCGCTATAGCAACCTCTTTGTGCAGAAGCCGAGTAACAGAGTGTATCGTTTAGCTGTGTCGATATGAACGGATTTGCGCTATGTGCGAGTAATAGCGCAATCATATCGACTGCGCCTGCTCCACAGGCGACTTGAAGAGGTGTAAGGGTGCACTTGTCTTCGCTGAGATTGGCACCTCCTTCAACGTTAGCACCCCGTTCCAATAATAAACGAGCACAGCGCGTGTGTCCGCGAGCTGCTGCATACGTAAGCGCGGTCCAGTGTTGGGTCTCGCCATTAACTGCGGCGTATAGTGGATTCCCAGTTGCTGGCGTTTCTACGTCGCAGGAGGCGCCCGCGTCCAATAATGCCTGCAAGTACATTTTGTAGGCAACGGACAACGTTGTGAATTTACCAACCAGCAGCGTTATATCATCATTGTAAAGAGCTGAAAGCATCAATGCTGTATGACCTTGCAAAGTGAATGTGTCCAGTCCTGTCGATGTGGGTAACAAGGTTATAGCCTGTTGAATCAGCTCAGGTCTACCCGATAGCATTAACCTAAACGCCAATTCAATCTGTAACATTTCAAGCATTGTTAAAGTTCCTTCAGTTAATAATGTTGCTCACTTTGATTTGCCTGGACGCTTCGAGATAGTCTTCTTCGCCACCATTCATGCGTCTTATTCGGATTGCTTCTTCTCCAATGGGTCGGACGGGACAGTCCACACCTGGAAGTAATAATCTCGCAGACTGCATGATGTCATCGCGATCTAGCACTGCTGCAAACCGGTGTTCACCGTGCGCAGCTGCCACCCTTAACCACTCAACAAGCGGCGGCAGAACAACGTACGCCCGCTCATAGCACAACTCCTGTACCGCGCTATCTCCCTGCTCTCCATGCTCCAACTGCGAACATCTCATAAAGTAAAACAGCGCTCTAATAGCCTGCGGGCACAGAGGTATTCGTGGATGCATCCTGTTGATTAGCTCTTGCAGCTCGGACAGTGACCCGACGCACGTTGTCATCAACGACGGTTCGGGCGGACCGCTGCCTCTACTGGAATCGCGCCCCGAAGTAACGCTCGACGTGGAGGCCCACCTCGGAAGCGCGAGAGCTCCGGACGCAATGCGGCCGGCGTTAAGGTGGGCGTACGGCTGCAAAAGTCCCCATAAATCTCCGTTGTTGGCAATGGCGTGTTCTAAAAGGGTCGCCGTGATCGTAATGTCGGAGTCACTTGGCAAACACTGCAGCAGTATTTCTTCGAGTAGATTTTCAACACCCGCGCAGAGATACACGGCAGCATATCTGTAAAGGAAAATTTTCAAAAGCTTCAGTAGCTATTGATGTTACTGAGTCATCAAATCCACTAGTAAAAATCACGCTGGAACGGTTTCCTCAAGTGTTTGATTGATCTGCCTCAAAATCAGTAGAGCTGATTACTCCGAATTGCTACCCCAACTTCTGGTAAACGGTTTAGCTTATAAAGAGTTTGCATACAGACACACGCAAATGATAAAATGAATACGAACCGTCGGCAACTGTACTCTCTTTTTAAGTCACGAATTTTGAATTTGAGGTGTAGCTCAATTTCTAGGATAAACTATCAAAAATTGATTCCGCTGGCATTGTTTTTAATTACATCAAAATTGGTATCTAAGCATCAATTTGCAAAAAAAAACAGCTCTAAATTTTTGAAAGTAAATATGAAATTTTTTAGATTTTAAAGATTCGAACAGTTTGGGAGTTACATACCATAGAAACTCTACATAGCGTCAAAATTACAGGGTGGAATTTTCCAATAATTAATTATACGACAGGAGGAACTGTAAAAATCCGTAAGTAATTGAATTTGATTTCTATAGCGTGTTGGCCTCTTAATAACTTTAGGAAATCCTCGGCTCCAGGTGTACTCTTATTATCTCAGTCGGATTTTGTTGCAAAAATAGCTAAATAACGTTTATTGTACCCATTTTAAAGATGCAATGGGTGGGTAGATATAACGTACAGGTCTCGTTCATTTCGGTGGGTACCGCCAATCAGATTTGTTTTTACTTAATAACCAGAAATGCCATTTTGAAAAAAGTAATTAATTAAGTAGGCGTTATTCCGAAGATTTTGAATTAATTCGCGTTTGAGACACCGAAGCGACCAGTGCGCTGTCCATAGCAGTGTTTAGTAAAAAAAATTATTTTCTTCTTATTCCGGGGAAAGCTTTATCAGAAATTCTGTCGGGAACTACCTACCAAAAAGTAAACATGTAGTTTCGTCGCGAAATAATTTTGTTTGAGCTGAGCCGTTTGTCTTAGACACCAGAAAACCAAGTTGCGATTGCGGGTATTTTCTTGAAACGGAAATTTAAACGCGAGTTTCGTGTGTTTACATTTAAATGAATTCATTCGAGCGGGTCAGCTTTATCCATGCTAAATCAAAGATTTTTTATATAAAGAAAAGAGGCTAAAATAGTCTCTAGGTGGCCTAGGGCTCGAAATTTCGAAGGAATAGACAGACAGACGACGGAAAATTGCGCATATAGGCGTTATCGCAACTTCGTTGTGTTACGCTAAAAAGGGCAATTGTTATAATTGTTATAACCGCCCACGGTAATATAAAACAAGCGTGAAAATTTGTTACTTAGTGAAGATTTCTCCTATTGAGGTAATATAAGAAACATTCGCAACTCGTAAACAAAAAACCGTCGTGTTAATAAAAGTCTGCCTGCCGGTACAGGGTGATTCAAATTCGTGGCTCACCATTGGGAGCTCCGCAACGGTGAGAGTTACAGTGTAAGTTAAATGGGGGCAAAGTTGGTCCTTTTTGTGGCTAAAAAAACACTTTTTAAATTTTTCAAAAATCTGAGATCACCGAAATACTGAAAACGTCAAATTCTCTTTTCATTTTTCCTGGCTTAAACGATCGGAAATGGACGGTTCCTGTTAGTTCCATCTATGGGCACTTTTTTCGGATAATCTGAATTTGTTATTAGAATTTCCATAGCACGCTAGATGTAGAAGCTACACGCTATTACTTTGTTTTTGCTTAAGCGTACTATGTTAGATTTTTACGGAATCAAAAATGTTTTGCATTCATTTCTCATCAAAACATCCACGGGTAACTAGGTCGTGCTGAAACAACATGGCTATGATGACGATGCATTTAAATGAATTTCTTTTTTGTCGTCTAACTCATTCCGTAAAAATGTGGCGCCCATAAAGAAAGTAGTAGCCTGCAGTTTCTATATATAGCGTGATATGGACATTCCGAAAACAGATTCAGATTCTCAGAAAAAAGTGCCCATAGAAGGTGCTAAAGGGAATCGTCCATTTGCGATCCAGGAAAATGAAAATGGGAATTTGAGATTTTCATTTTTTCTTTGCCCTCACTTAACCTACACGAATATGCACCACCATGTAAAGCTCTATTATTGAGTTTTCCGCATTAGTGTTGTTGTATGATGAGTCGTGTCCAGCATATTTTTTGTATTTTTGCGTGTAAAATTGCATGTAAAATTATAGGTTGCATATCTTTAAGAAAAATCATCGTAAATTATATTTGGTGGAATTATCAGGGAAAATTGGATCTGTATCTTCTTACAGATATCAACATCTGGGCAAATTTGAAGCCGTTGTATTACATGTATTTTTACACGAACCCATTAGATTTGGAGTTAATAGAAAAAATCAGTTTTTCCAAATTCAAGCAAGAAAATTTCCAAAACTCATAAGTCCATTGTGATTATTTATGAAAATAATTGAAAAATTTTGATTATTTGAGGGATTTTGGTTATGGTGCACTAAAAACTTTTGTAGAGACTTTAAAAAGCTGTCATATGATGTAATAATATACAGGGGGTTCCACATGAAACACACACGTTTTTGTTATTATCTGAACAATGCGATGTTGTTTTCGTTTTTTTTTAATTCAGTAGAAAAAAATACACAATTTTGGTAATTTAACCGATCTAATTTACGATGAAGAAGAGTACATCTAAGCATGTGAAAATGTCTATTGAATGCTCGTTGTAATACAATTGCTTTTTTACAAAAAATAAAAATCTAAAAATCCAATAGGGCCGCTTATCGGTGTATTTGTAATTTAGATGTTTAAATGACTAATTTGTTGGTATTTATTTCAAAATTTTATGCTGAATTGAAATTATCATTTCAAACCGAGTTAAACTTGACGCTTGAATTTGTGTACTTCTAGTTCAAAACTTGTGTTGAATCTTGAATATTGAAATTTCAAATGACGCTTAATTTGTATACATCAAAATTTGCGCTGAATTTCAAACTGCCTGAAAATTGACGCATTCATTTGTCTACTTTTACCTCAACATTTGTGCTTAAATGCTGAAACTTCAAGTGAAAATTGACGCTTTAGTTTTTCTACTTTACGCTCGTGTCCAACGTTGAAATTTCAAGCTGAGTGAAAAATGACGCTTTATTTGCATACTCTTAGTTCAAAATTGGCGCTAAATAAACTGAGTGAGAATTGACGCATTAGATTGTCTTCTTTTACCTCACAATTCGTGGTGACTTCTGAAATTCCAAATTGAGTGAAACTTGACCCTTTATTTTCTCCACCTTTCAGTGAAAATTTTGATACTTTAAATTGAGTAAAAGTGACGCTTTGATATTTCTACTTTTAACGCAAGGTTGTGCTCAAAATTTTGAAATTTCAAACTGAGTAAAACTTGACGTTATAAATTGTCTACTTTTATTTCATCTTTTATTTCAAAATTTGTGCTAGAGGTTGAAATTTTAAACTAAGTGAACATTGACGCATTAATTTGTCTAGTTTTAGTTCAAAATTTGTGCTGAATGGTGAAATTTCAAATTGAGCTGAACTTGAACCGTTATTTTCTCCATTTTCCGCTCCAAATTTGTGCCAAATACTGAAATTTTAAATGGATTCACAATTAACGCATTGCTTTGTTCACTTTTAGTTCAGAATTTGTACTGATTGTTGAAATTTCAAATTGATCAATGTTGAATTGATCAAATTGTCAAAATTGGCGCATTATTTCGTCTACTTTTAGTTCAAAATTTGTTCTGAATTCTGAAATCTTAAACGTAGTGAAAATTGAGGCATTATTTGGTCTATTTTAGCTCAAAATTTGTGCTAAATGTAGAATTTTGTCTACCTTTACTTCAAAAATTGTACTGAATAACACTTGACACATCAATTTCTTCACATTTCGCTGAAAATGTCTGCTGGATATCGAAATTTTAAACCGAGTAAAAATTGACGCTTTAATTTATCTACCTTTAATTTAACATTTGTGCTGAATATTGAATTTTAAAATTGGGCGAAACTTGTCGCATTATTTTCTACACTTTCCGCTCGAAATGCGTTCTAAATGTCGCAATTTCAAACTCAGTGAAACATTTGTGCTTAAAATTTGAAATTGCTACCCGAGTTAAACTTGACGCATTAAATTGGGTCCAAATTTGTGTTGAATGTTGAAATTTCAAATGGTGTTAAACTTGACGCACTGTCCCCTCAAAATTTATGATAAATTTTTAAATTGATTGACAATTGACGTATTAATTTGTTTACTTTTAATTCAGAATTTGTACTTTGTGCTAAATAATGAAATTTCAAACTAAGTGAACATTTGTAATTTGTGCCTAATGTTGAAATTTAAACTGAGGGAAAATTGGCGCATTATTTGGTCTACTTTTAGGTCAAAATTTGTTCAAATTTCAAATTGATTGCAATTTTACTTGTTGATTTGTCCACTTTTAGTTGAAAACGTGTGGTAAATGTTCAGAATTTAAGCTGAGAATGGGTTCATTGTTTGTTCTATTCTTTTAGTTCAAAATTGGCGCTAAATGTTGTAATGTGAAAACTTAGTGAAAATTGACGTATTCATTTGGCTACTTTGAGTTCAAAATTTATGTTGAATGTGAGTGAAACGCATAAGTAATTTCTCCACTTTTCCCCCAAAATTTGTGATAAATTTTGGAATTTCAAACTGAGTCAAAATTGACGGATAATTTTGTACTTTTGAACCAAAATTTGTGGCTAAATGTAGAAATTTCAAACTGACTGAAAATTGGCGCAATAATTTATCTACTTTTGACTGAAAATTTGTGCTAAATGTTGAAATTGGAGAGTGAGTGAGTTTACTTTTGGTTCAAAATTTGTGCTGAAAGATGAGATCTCAAACTGAGGGAAAATTGACGCTTTAATTTGCCCCCTTTTTGATCAAAATTTGTACTGAATGTTGAAATTTGCGTTACGTCGTTTGAAATTTCAAAATTTAAGCACAAACTGTACTTCAAATTAAAGCGTCAATTTTCACTCAGTTTAAAATAAACATTTAGCACAAATTTTGAGCGAAAAGTGGAGAAACGAAAGCGCCAAGTTGCACTCAATTGGAAATTTGAAATTGGCGCATTAATTTGTCTACTTTTGGATCAAAGTGTGTGCGAAATGTTGATATTTTAAATTGAGTAAAAATTGCCTCCACTTTTGGCGTGCAGTTTGTGCTTCAATTTCAAATTAATTGATCGAATTCAACTTACTCATGAATGAATCGTGCGAATTTCACGTCCACCATCCATCGATGGAATCTACCAACATGCAGCTGCAATCCAGCCCGAGACGATTTGCTTTGACGAAACGCTCCATCCCCAGACATGGCCAGCATAGCGGCGGCCCGTTGGCACGCTTTAATGCACGAATCGGCCAACGGCGGACACAGTATAATCCGAAAAGAAATCATAATATCGTGCTTTGTACATATACCAAGATTGGAAGATAAGCGTTGAGTTTCCCTGCTCAGCCGCACGAGGGCGCGTTGCAAAAGGTATGACAGTCGCGGTATGGTTTCGACACTTACTCTCGACATGTGATCACGACACCTTCCCGTTTGTAAAACGCGAAGAATGCAATGATTGGTCCAGGGCAAGTGCTGCAATTCGACAAGTCTAAAAATGACCCGACATTCATTTAATCGACGTAGGCGTAATACTGACCGATTGTGCGAATCGACCCATACGAATTCATCGGCGCTTGTAATATTGGTATTTATGGTCTCTAGGGATGAGTGGCGAATTAAACGACGAACTGCCGGTTCCGAGCTCTCCGATCCCGCGCTTACACTCGAATAGGTACTCGTTGACGTATGGGATCGCATAGTCAACTGTTGCAGTGCCATTTTAATATCCTCCAATCCCCCCTCTCCGCTCCAGGGCACCTGAAGCTAAATTTGCCAGTGGAAACAATAGGAAAGGGTTTAGAAGAGGGTACCTTTGCCGGGGTGGCGCGATGGCGCGATCTTGTGTGCTGCGAATTTCCTCGAGATCTTGTAGACCGTTGAATAACACCGGCGGTTAGGCGGTCATGGGTTGCCGAGTTGATCCCGCGAGGGGAACTGTTGCCTGTGTCCGACATGCTCGCATGGCCGGATGACCGATTTTCATCTGATGAGCTGTTGCAATGTTGTGCACGTTGCTATTTACAAATAAGTAGGTAGCTAGCGAAAGAGGATGTTACTCACCTGCAAACGCAGCTCGTCTATACTAACATGGTGGTGCGGCCTTAAGGTCACCATGCGGTGTTGGTCATCTGGTTCGTTGTATTTGGAAACACATTGAGAAGAATTTGGGAGTTTCAAGCTCCCGATGGCACTCGAAACTTTATTGGGGGCCGTATCCCTTTCTGGTACCATGCTCATCGACACATGATTGCAACTATACTTACTACCATATTCTCGATTGGCCATCAGATTATTTTTAGCGTTCGATATGTTGCTCTTATCAGGTTGTTCGTTAAATGTCGCTGTTTTAACATTATTGGCAATATAAAGTTGAGGAAAATGATCGACTTTACATTTTGGTGATACCATCCTCTCCGTAAATTGTGTGGATTCTGATGACGTACAGTTGTACGAAACTTTCCCCTGTAGGGCATTTGATGCTGGATTTCCATGTAACGACTTATTTTCTTTGTTATTTTCCACGCTGCCCTCTAAAGATGGATACACCTGCTCAGCTCTGGAGTTACTCGACAGTCTAAAACAAATGAAAGGTGTTGGTGGTTGTGGATTAACATTTTTGGCAGGCACCTTTGTCGTTTACGATAATTCTTGTTAAATACGTCAGCTTCGACTCCTAGAGGAAGATCGTCACAGCTATCATCGATGTTAGTCGAATTGAGCTCATTTATTAGTTGGTTTGCAAAAGGAAATGTGTCTTTGAAAACAATATTAATCAAATTACTACTGGGATAACCATTTAAGCTCATAAACTCGTCTAGCACTTCACTGACTACGTTACTCTCATTTTCTTTAATAGAATCGTTGATGTATACAACAGATTTATGTTTGTTGACGCACAAATCGTCACAAGGACCGTTCCCTTTATGCAAAGTTGCTCCGAAATATGTAAAATTTTTGTTTTCGAAAATGTCCTGGCCATAATTTGTTTTTGAAGTTAAAATAAAGTTGTCGGAAACAGTCTTTTCTACAGACATAGTCCTATCAATTAAATTTAGTTCCAAGCACAATACACAATCACAGTTTTCGGAGCACTTCATCTTAATTTCTTCATTGCAACATCCGTATCAATGCAATGAACGTTAAGAACTAATTATCGCGGTGCAAATAAAAGAAAGCCTAGCTGATACCGTAAATATAAGTGCACGAGCTACTTCTCATTATTGTTTAAAAATTTCCTTTTCAACCAACATGTCGCATTTGCAAAATTGTTGAATCCAGGACTAAGCAGTTTACTTATTTGAATCGAAAGGAGGGGCGGTAATGTTATACATTTGATTGATTAGATAATTACATTTCCAAGTGGATAACCCAAACATTAGTGTACCTACACACTAAACTTATAATATTCGCACACACTTTCTTCGGTAGGAAAAGAAAAGTAAGGTACTTTCTACCACTGTCACAATATTCTCACGCAAAGTGTATAAGTACAATAGGTACACGTTTCTATATTAGTAGATATTATACTTAATTAATGTTTAAAATTGGTTTAAAACTACGATGCGATTTAGATTATTCATCACTCAATAACGTTACCACGGATTGTAGAAATTGTAGGTATCATTATTATTATTAATAGCAACAAATACCTACTCCATTTAATTAAAAATGAAATTATTTCCCAAAAACGGTAATGGATATGCAAATTAATTCCACGCTACAGGAAGAACGGGCGAACGCCGTAGCTACTTGCGTGAAAAATGTGCTATTGAGTAGGTAATTTTTTTATGCTAATCTGGCAATACCTACAGTATGATTTTATAGGTAGACAACGAGCGACAAGGTCACTTCCGGTATTGACCAACATTTAATCAGTTAGTCCCTTGGCCGTTGTCTATCTATTACTGAAAGCAGAATTGGAAAATTCGAAACCTTTCGCGAGTTATCATGTGCATAGATGGACGGACGGACAGACGGAAAGGTCAAAATCATGCACGAGCGTTATTGTCTTTAATAAGGCATTCAGTACATAAAGGATTTTCCAAATCCATGCTTGTTCTGTCAGCAAATGACTGTAAATGCTCCTAAACACAGACAAAAAATGCGTCTTGAAATATCAATAAACAAACCAATAGTTTTCCAGCAAACTTCAGTGGTTTACCAGCAATAGTTTGGCATTTTACCCATACGTAGTTATAATAATGATTTTTATATACTTACGTAGCTGCTGATGACTGTTCATTAAGTGATTCATCACATGGTAAATGTGGTAAATGCCAAGTAAAGATCCTAATTAAATGTCGTTAATCTTATAGAAACAAAATGGCCGTCCAGTTAACGACCTATTGGCACTCGCACAAAACATCGATCACAAATACCCTGTATATAACTATCATTACAACCTGTATATTTAAATTTCACCATGTATATATCTTTCGCAGCTCCCTATGCATTAATTTTCGAATTTACTAACACGACACTATTTCACGAATCAGTCACTAGACGCTAATTACAGAAAACTATATTTCCGATTCTTGTAAAGCCCATCAATCCCCACTAGGTGCCGGCACAATTGCAAATTTACCGCTACCTAAATGGCAGACATCGGGAAAAAAAACACTCATCACATATACCCTGTATATAACTATCATTAGGTATACCCTGTATGTTTAAAATGACACAGTAGAAAATTCAAATTTACTGCAATAAGATGATTGACATAAATTCAAAAATTCAATTCCCCCGCGCATATTCAAATTTACCGCCACAAAATGGCGCAGCCAATCCCAGCGCAGCGCGTGTGGCGTCATAAAAAAAGGGGAGGAGATGGCTGTCCTCTCGCTACTGGTGTACATACTTTTGAAATACGTAGGTAAAATCTTGTTGAAAATAATCTAATTTTGAAGAAATTCATGAAGCTTTGTGAAAATATTACATTTTGCTTTGGTTACACTAAAATAGTAAGGGGACGACGGGTAAAGTTTTGCGTTTCAGAGATGGGAAAATTTAGAGCATACGGAAAAAATATACCCATCTTTTTGGAAGCTGAAAAAATTTCCCTTTCTTTGTACCTACGTGATTTCAGTCACGCAATGCACTTTTTTCTAAACCTCAGGGAGGAAGCACAAATTTACTGTGATGAAGTAATTTGTAGCTTGAAGTCTCGGTTGCGTTTTTGTTCAAAACACGGAGCTAGTATTTTCTATTTGGCCATTATGAGCTACAAAAAATTGCGCTTTCTATCAAAAATCAAATGGCAACGCAGTAGTTTCCTTCGCCCCAAAAAATCCACATAAAATTTTTTGAAATTTAAGTGTAATATACAGGACCCTAGCCAGAGGGGGCTGGCGGGTGGAAACTGTGGTTAATATTTTCCATACTTCCTTTACAAAATCCTAAATATCAATATATGCAATTCAACATGCTCATACAGTGCGTACATTTTAACTCTAAACATAAATCTCTTATGTTCCATTCTTAAATATACAAGTCAATGCCTGACAGTTATGCAACCCACCTTACACAGAAATTTGGCAGCAGTGTAAACAAAATAAGTAATGATAATAATAAGAAGAATAATGATTTTGTTTATTAAAGGGTAGGAAAAGCTTATCATCAGCTATCAATCCCCCCTCTTCAAGCTTATATTACAATAAGTGCGAGGATAAGTGGCATTCTAGATCAACAACTACAATAATGGAACGACAAAATTCGACTTATTAACTGTGAAACTGTATTTTAAGTGGTTTTATAGTATTCTTTCAGTTATTAGAATTATGCTCATATGCTGTGAACTGTCAAATTCAATACGGGCAATTACTCTAGCTAAATTACGAACAGTGATATAGTTCGATTTTCTTCTATGTACGCTAAGATATTTAACTTCATTTCTATAATTCATCAACATAAAATGTTGTAATGCTACTATAAACTGTGGCAAGTGACGGAATTTGATTCATGATAAATCCTGTGAATGTCATTATTGAAATACGTTTTCATTTTTTCGTCATTTGTATAGATTTTATTAAGAATATAATTAATAATCGTAATTTAATAAATAATTCAGATATTGAAGTTTATTGGAAAACATTAAAAAAAGATGAAAGTAGGTAAGATTGGTTGCATATCTTAAGGGATATTTGACTTGTATATTTCAGAATTGAACATAGGAGATTTGCATGTTCAGAGTTTTATACACTGTATTCCTGCTACTTCATTCTGGTTATGGGCCAGGCATGAAATGTTTTTTATTCATACATACCGTTATTGAACCTCATTCCTTACCAAATCCTTTAGAGGAGACGAAGCTTTTGGGATAAATCTTAATCCAAATTGTGAAAAAACAACTGTCTCAAATGTTAACCCCCTCCCTTTCATCAAATCTTCGCCAGTCCACCTACCTTAAAAGTCTTAATGAAGTAAACGATGGTAAATTTTCAGTGAGTGGATTAAATGTACGAATTATGGGTAATTATATTTTTAATTACTCTGGTTCCAAAAATCTCAAATGTAAGGTGGTGGTGAGGGTTGGGTATTAAAAATGAAATTCCCGGAAAAGTATTAAACGTACAAATTTACCCTGAAAAATTACAATTGGAACCTTGCACACAAGTAGGTAACCCTTTTCTTTAACGGGGGAGGGAAAAACCGTAAAAAATAAAATTTTACAATTGCAATTATTATCAGATATTAAAATTAAACACTAAAAAAATCTTGCTTAGTGAGCCTCGTTTGAAAAATGTTTGTACTTGTCTCCTCTACAATTACAATAAATTATGTACGAGATATTAAAAATAAGGTTCCTTGATTTGTTTGAAGAAGTCTTTCAGATTCATATTAAGCGCAGCTGTATTTAAAAGAATCCACAGGCCACGGTTGTAAACGTAAGAACGGAGTTTGAATATCGTTTGTATTGTTGTTTTAAATAAGGGCGTTATTTAAAGTAATAACCGGAAAATTACATACTGTTTCGCATCTTCCTATGAATTTTTTTTTAATCCGCAGCAGCCCTAAGTTCTTTCTCTCGAGGCTGACAATGTAATTTTTGTATAAATATTTCAATCACTGTTAGATGCAGAGGAATGTAAAAATGATTAATACGCCCATAAGATAGACATGAATAAAAACTAGTTTAATTACCTTCTCGGTTTTGGCCTTAATATTTCGTGATCAGCATCTGTGATACATAAGGGATTAAGTGGGCCGGAGAGGTGATCCACACCCGTCCAGGGTTGTTCGGGAGGTTCTGACGGTGGTCCCCCGAGCGGTTCCCAGCCAGAGGGTATTGAGCCATTTTGGTGGGCCATGTCACTCAGTAGGTTGTGCGTGCGACATTCCAATGATCGTTAATCCCTTGAGGCTCATTCTTCTCTTTTGGTTACCACATTCCATAATAATTTTCTTTAAAACTTCGTATAGTTAATCAATGAAATGTTGTAATCACCGCATTTTGGTGTTTTCAAATTCGATTTGGATTAATTTTACTTGCTCACTTAAACCAGAACAATACACATAATATACTGGCGCACGTGTCAACCATCAATAACACACCCCCACGCGCGCGGATTTCAACGGACCGTATGCCGATTAATGACAAAATCTCAATTAGAGAGTTTTCTTTTGCAAAAAAGCCATTTTGAAGAATATATCACCGTAAATGCAGAAGACAGTTGCGATTTGAAGTTCTCTTCGTACAGTGTAGAAAATCGGACATCGTGCGCCCATGACTTGCGACCTGAAACAGGTTTAGGAACTCGTAAGCTAGCTAGAATGTTTTCGTCTTGCACCTTTAAAAAAAACTTCTATTGTTAAGTACACCGACCGTCCAATGCTACCCTCTCAAATTAAAATCGATCCATAACTAATAGATCAATGGGTTCACTATTACGCTGGATGTTGCCAGAGGGGCGGTTAAGAGATAATTATTCAAATTTGCACTAATGATCATGTCAATTTTTACAGGGTAATATTTATTATATTCGTTTACAGAGAATCCTAACGGTATACTTCACATAAATATGGAGCAAGAGAAATGTCCTATGACACTTTAAATTCGTGCGTGCTATAGGATAAAGATAGGTAATTTTGCGATATCTATAGGCAGAGCTGGGCAGTATTCGATTTTGTAAATACGTTTTAGTATTCAAATCCTTTAAAGTATTCAAATACATTGTAATTAAATACTTTTATGGAAGCAGTGTTTGTATTTGTAACTCAAATACTTTCACAAATATTTAGTATTCGAATACTTCGCATAGTATCTTCCTTTTTTTTTTAACAAAAATCGACTACTCCAAAATTTCTCGGGAAAACATTTCTTATTAATTTTGGTGCGTAGAATCCAAAACAATTCGTACTTTTTCGATCAGACTTCTCAATTTATAGACTTCTTCAAAGGGCTGTAACTTTTGAACTAGTAGCCCAATCTTGTGTTTGAAATTATGGAATTCCCGGGTCGAAGACACAATTCGTACTTTTTCGATCAGACTTCTCAATCCAAAGTTATAGACTAGAAACCAATTTCGAAAAAAGATTCAAAGGGCTGTAACTTTTGAACTAGTAGCCCAATCTTGGAACTGTTTGAAATTATGGATTCTGCAGGCCACATTCTATAAGAAAATTTTTTTCCGGGTCGATCGGAGACAATTTTTTCTTCGGGCCTCAAATAAAGGCAGTGTACAACCTTCCTTTTTTACCAAAAATCGACTGCACCAAAATTTCTCGGGAAAACACTTTTTCTTATTAATTTTGGTGCGTAGAATCGAAAACAATTCGTACTTTTTCGATCAGACTTCTCAATCCAAATCTAATATTTTCCCTTGTATAATAAATAACTATTTTTATGAACATGCCTTTTTGAAATCGGAATTTCTTCTCTTTTAGCTGACTTCATTTCCATCATCTAAATGAACAGAAAAAGTTCCCTAAAGGAAGTCTCTTTAGTTTTTAAATATCTCCCCAAATAACTATTTTAAACCCTACAATTACAAACGTCAATGAATTATGTTATTTTTCACCATTATATAGGAACCTTTAGAGAGGGTGTACCTACATGTTGTTTTTTGATTTTATTTACTCGTAGACATAACTCCAGGACCGTTTAACCAACTCTATATACTCTATAACTGTTTCGTATTTATGCTAATGCGCGAGATCTCTGTGCTTAACATAAAATTTGATACAATCTGATGTATATTTTCCTTTGGGACTTGTATTTTTTTTTAAATATTATCGTCATGTGTTCTATTTGTTGTATCTTCATTTATTGGCACTTACCCGCGTAGGGGCGGGAAAGAATAACCCTACTGCAGAGGCACACTGCATGTCGTAAGAGGCGACTAATCAAAGGTGGTTTGCCCAACAACATACGCCTAAGAAGCAGACTAGTCTTAATGTTGACTATATTTACGAAGTCTAGATGTTGTGTTCGTTTTTAGGGCCCAAAATATCTATTATGCACTTTAAGCATTACCGATATTTAACCCTCGGGCCAGAGGCCCTCGCCGGGATCTGTCGCCCTTCGCTTAAATATCATAAATAACTAATTGTCTATGAGCTGCTTAAGCAGTTTTAATTCAGTCCCGCTTCTCGAGAATGTTAAAAACTGTTTTCAAGTTTGCCACTTTATTTGACGAATGGCCGTTTCCATTGTTCTCTTTATATTTTATTAAGCAAATGGTGGTTGACTTCAGTGTTTTTTTATAGGGGCGGTTGATATTAAAAAAGAGCCCATGGAACGCTAATGGGTGGATGTTCGTCATTGCGGTGCCGGTTAGGCTCAAGGATGCACATTAGAAAACGCTTGGGTTATACGCATTTGTGAAAAATTCAGTGTTCAGATTTGGATCTCTCAGCATATGCACGTAAAACTTTGTACGTGCGTAGTTACATTTAGAGGGGTTGGAAACCCCACTTGTAGAAACGGAATTTTAATCTCTACGGCACTGGTAAAAATTTTACTTTAATAATTCATTTTTTGTAATGAAATAATTCATACGTTTCGCGGCTTGCTCAGTAATGAAGAAACTTTTAATGACTCTTACCTTGCGGAAAGTTGGTTCTTTGTTTGATCGCTCTCAAATAAATATGTAAATTGCCTTGTTTGAATATGTTGATGAAAATATTATCATTCCAATTGCACTTTTCTTCACATTTTTGTGATGTAAAATATTGACGTAATTCATATAACAACTGCATACTACACACCTTTAATCTCGTGATCACGTTTCCAATCTTATTAATTATCTTTACTATTTGTAATTACTCCAACACCTGGTACATATTTCTATTTAAAATATCTACACACCTCTGAATCCTAAATAAAATTTAACCCGCTCAGAAGACAGGTATCAATGAACTTAAAATCACAATTAATGTGGAAAAAAATCACCAAAATCTGTGGTTTGGGCTCGCCTATCATTCAGCTGCACCACACGGAATAAACTCCCGTGGGTCGACCTCTTTAGGAATGTTAAATTGACTTGGAGCATAAAATTGTACACCAAGGAACATTAGTTCTTTTTGTTGAGGAATAGATTTGTTTCCTGACCGAACGTACAATGACTTATCGAGTTTATTATCAAATATAATGAGACCTGTTTTTTCCTGATTTAATCGTTTCTATCGTAACTAGCTACTCCAAACATAGCGCTTTCATGGTAACAATTTATTTAAACGCGATTAAGCTGCTGGAATAATGCAAAGAAAAAAAAATTTCGCGTAGACGCGTACGTATAAAGAAAGTAACGTATTCGCATTATATTTACGATGGAAAATAAATCGGCCGATACGACGAAGTTCCCTTTTTGTATAAATACGCCACTTATTGGTTTTGCTCCTAATGGCAACTCACAAGGAACTTAAAAAGCACACACGATAATAATTTCGGGGAAATTGGGCCACAGTTTTCCTTTGAAATTCGGTAATTTACTTCAACTTTCGCAATAAAATATCCCGTACGATTATGCGGCTCACAATTCTTTCGTATACTTCGATTATACGGCTTCGCCTCGAACCTTTAACTGAAAATAAAATTTTTCGCGATCAAAAAATACCGTGTTCGATTTACATACATTCCCCTTAAATGTTCAGCGAAGACTGCCCTTCTCCTACTCAATTTTCGCCGAAATCAAAATCTGAATCCGATCCGATCGAAAACTGTAATTTACCCATCCCTGCAAATTCGTTCCCAATTATACAAGAACAATAATAGATATTGATCACCATTATTTATTGAAAAAGATCACTGTACACTAATTACACAAGTGTGAAAAGGGGTTCCATTCCAAGGGGATAATACGGAAACTTTTTCCATATATCCCGATATGCTAAATTAACAATTTTGAATAATTAAGTACAACTAAACATCAAAATAACTAAGGCACTAATTAACAGGCATAAATATAACATATAAAATCACACCAAAATAAATAAAAAGATCAAAATTATTAATTTTTTTTTAGTTTCTTTCATTTGGATTACCATACACAATATACAGGGTAACCATTGATGAAGACAGAAAAATCATAAAGAAAACAAAGTGAGGGAAAAGGAAATATTCTTCATCAGATATGGTCAAACGCTTAATTTATTAAAAAAATTGAGACTTTATCTTTAAATTTTTTTATTACTTATATACAAATCATCTGACGGTACCTAATATTAGAACATTAACGTATGAGTGTTACTTGCTATACCACATCACCTTCTACTGGCATGGGCTTGCAAAAAGTTGTGTTCGAGATCATTTTGTTTATCGGACCAAAGTGTGCGATTTGAAAATTACATTCTTCGGTAACTTCATCAATTACCGTGTTGAGCGCTTTGCATTGTTGCTCGAAGTTGTCGGAGCGATTTCTATTTTTCGACGGACGTCTCGTTTCGCGTAACGTCGAGCTCCTGAGCAATACGTGGTTTCTTTTTAATCCGCACAAGATTTCCTTAAAAGCGGATCTGTATCGATTCGACATAAGGTTGTATAAAATGGGGTTTAATGTGCACGAAAAGTAGTAGAAAATACCCGTTATATAAAACATCCACGCGTTTAATTCGTAATAAAAGGATAAATTTCGACCGTAGAGAAACAGTAATCGCTGCGCGTGGAATGGGGCCCAGCATAAAAAGAAACCGATCACGACTGCAACTGTGGAATAAACAGTAGGTAGTTTATGATCAAGCCACAACTATACATACATAACATCCGTATTATAGATGCGTTAGATTGGTGCCTTCTGCAACTGCCACGATGAACGGATCCGTGTAGAGATTTTCCGATGATTCGTGTCTGATTTGAAATTTTTAAAGCCATCCGCGTGTATTGTACACCAATTATTCCCATTGGCACAAGAAAGAATAAAATAAAACTTATTTCTCCCAGGGGTAGATTTGTCGGTTGGGCCATTATGGCACAAAACGCCGATTCCTGAAATCAATAAAATTATTGGATAGAACATTCTCGTACGTACCTCCAGAATATTGTCACTGTCGGGTGGATAAGTTAGATAGTCAACAGTGGAGTAGATCGAGAATGGAATTGCGCTGATCAATGCGACGATCCATAGGCATCCAATAATCCAAAGCGCTCGTTGGAACCCGGACATCGTGTGCAAATATAATGGGTAGCATATCGCCAAGTACCTTTCCGTTGAAAATGCCACTATTGTTAGTACTGAAACGTACGTCGCCCTAGAAATTATTGTCAGCAGTGTAAACGATGACGAATTCTTCACTTACATTTCTGACATTAACGCTCTGATTTTGCAAAAGCTTTCCCCGAATATCCAAGGATATTGGTGCCAGTATAACGTCACGTCATTTGGAAGACCTGTAAATAAGTCATGTTTAGAGAAGCGATATACTTGAATTTTGAGGATTTTATAGGAAGGTATATGCATTGAAAAGCATTATCATGGACCAAAGATCATAAATTTAGTTAATTAGTAATATGATCAGATCAGAACTCTTAGGTACACGCCGAGGCTTAATTTTTACGCAATGCGTTACTTTTCATTCAATTTCTTTTTGTTTATATCAACAATAATCGAGCCCAATATTACGACCTAGATAGGAGTGTTCATGTTTAATTTTTCTATTTTGCCCCCGGAATTACATCAAGTGTTAATGAAAAATGTCTTCTATGGAGCCGCTTAAGGTAACGTTGACGAAAACGCTAAAACATTTTTGCAAAATGTCACACAAATTTATATCTAAATATTCAAATATTTACGAATTAAAACACGAAATAGGTGCAGTTTAAATATTACCTATATAGCATATAGATTTTCTGAAATTTGCTGTAAAGTTCAAATTTAAAACCATATATAGGGTATTTTTATTCAGCACCGAATTAAGGAACTTTTGAGAAATTTCGGACCTCTTAATTTTCGGCTCGCTCGGCACTTGTTTTATAATGATCACTTTTGCGCCGAACTGTAAAAACAGCCTACTAATTACTGAAAAACTTACAAAATCTTTTTAAAAATGACGAATTGTGCCTAAATAACTCATTTTAAATATCATTTCATGCGTAATACATAAAGGAGCACTAAAAATCACCATATAATCGAAATATGGAATAATATACAGGGGGTTCTATTTAAAAAAATGCAACTTATATAACAATTGCAATTTCGTTGAAAATATTTTTGGGTTGTAGCCTTAAGAGTCCTTCAACATGCAAAATTCTTCAAAACCCTCATTTTAAGCCTCTCCAATATCAAGAAGCAATAAAATCGACCCCACCGAAAAAGTACGGATCCAAAAAGTACATTATACGTAATCCACCATGACCATACCTTAGTTGTAAATTAATAACTTTGAACCGTCGAGATAGCCAATGGGAAAAATGAGTGAAAAAGTGCTGCCAATTCAGTGAAAAATATGGTCACATAGCCAATTCTATTATACAGCGTGCCCATTATGTATGAAATATAGTGTAAATCTTGGTAAATATCGACTGCATATAAAATTTTTCTACATGAAAGTTATTTAACATTATATTTCCCTTAATAAGGCAGCATTCAGTTGTTCTTATTTCTGACAATAAATGAGCAACGAAAAACAATTGAATTTTTTTAAATAGTAGTGCCCCTTTCATTCGGCTTATTTGATAGAGATTTTTTTTCTCTTTTCGGTCACGTAACATGTTACCCTTATACAGGAAAATTTAAAAAAAATTATCATAATTACATTAATCTAGATATCTTATATTAAAATAAAACAAATGAACGTATACGTTTCTTGAAAACAACACGAAATTAGCAATAATCGCTGCAGCAATTTCTTCTAGAAGACTCAGACATTCATTTCAAGCTTTCCGTGATAAGATAAGTTAGTTCACTGCCTTGCAGTAATCATATGTTTTGAACACTTAGTGCATAGGAAACCATTTTATTGGTATTTTGTCTTCAAGGTTTAATAAGAAACGTACAACTTCATTTGTTTTATTTTCATGTAGGATATATCTAGTTGATGTTATTGATGTACTTAATTATAATAATTTTTTTGAAAAATTTTCTTGAATAAGGATACTAACATGAAACATCATCGAAAAAAGAAAAAAAAATTCTATCAAATGAGCCTATAAATGAAAAGGTATACTGCCATTTAAAAAAATTGAATTGTTTTTCGTTACCTACTCATTTGTTTTCTGAAATAAAAACAACTGAATGCTGCCTTATTATGGGAAATAAAATGTTGAATTACTTTTAATTAGAAAAATTGTTTATACAGTTGTTTATTTACCGACATATACAGTGTGGCAAGTTAAGGGCGGGACATAGGAAAATACATTTTTGGCAATTCCTGCTCCCCATTTCATCATACACGAAAAATAAAAGCATCCTCGGATAATTAAAATATGATGACATAAAAATACGCAACTGTGAGGTCTTATGCAAGTCTAAAAAATTAAATTAAAAATCCTAAAAATTGGTCAAAACTGGTTGGCCATGGAGTGACGTGTCGCACTTGCTAGGTAGGTACCTACTACAACAAATCGTTCCTTTGATTCCTATCTCACTTCAACCACGAAAGGGTGAAATAATTACGCTATAAAAGATTGAACTGTCATCAAACTTAACTGAAAATAAACCACGAACTTCGCCGTGTTTTATTCCTAGTATAAAACGATTTTACAATAAAGACCTTTTCTTCTGTAGAGTAATTATTATTCAAGTTGGCGTGTTTATTAGAGATGACAGTTAAATCAAAGAATTAGGTGACAAATGCGGTACGTAAATCATGGCCAACCACCTTTTTGGATTTACTTATTTAACTTTTATACTTTTAAAAAGGTGCTTAGGCACGCTTTTTTGGTGACATCTAACGCCGATTTTAATTATCGATCCGAGGGTTTTTTAATTTTTTCTTTAGGTTAAAATGGGGAGCAGGAATTGCCGAAAATGTATTTTTCCATGTTATTTCCCTATGTCTCGCCGTCAACTTGCCACACTGGTGTACTATATTTCATACATAATGGGCACCCTGTGTTTATTTGTTTATTTATTGTTTCTCTCTTGTTCTGTATAAGGGAAAGGATTTACATTCATCCCAAAAAAAAATGGATTGGTTTGGGAAAGCGATAGCAAAAATACGTCTGGATTACTAATTTTTTATTTGGTGAATATTAAATAATGCCGTTTTCAATTTAAAAGTTGATAAAACCAGATAGCGAACGATCTCACCACTTGCACACGTGTTTACGCAATCGGTCGTATACGTCACTACACCTGCGTCCATTCGGTACCCAAATCAGTTCAAATTTCATTTTAAAAGTGTGCGGTAGTGCTGTATGGTTTCGGCCGTGTTTCGAATTATTATTAATAAAAATGTAGTAGAGCGATGTTGCTTACTAAACGTGGTGTAATGGGGATGGTAAGTGAACTATGTTCCTCCAATTTTTGAGTTACAAGCAAAACTTTCCAAACTTTTTACTTATAGTAGCCATTAGTCATTTTCACCGTTAGTCCGGTACAATTTGAATGAGATGGTATTGGAGTGAGAAGTTTATACTGTTTCCAAAAATTATTGCAACTGAAACATTGGTATATCACATCATCCAAAGTTAAAAACTAGAATTGTAGGATTGCTAATGGACAGTACTTTTACAAAAAACTATCGCAAAGCATAATTTTTTTAACGTTTTGCAAAAGTAAAGGTTTTGCTACCCCTTTCTGAATTTTGGTCATTGAAAACGATGTCTTTTTGATTTAACGACTACAAGGCAGGTAACGAACACATGAGTCAGTGACACATGTGCATCGGATGTTTGTTATCGGCAGATACGTCACCACACCTGCATTAATTTATTGGCAAAATCAGTTCAAATTTAACTTCAAAAGTGTACGTAGTCAGTGGTTTTGTGTGGTATTTTTTATTGTTAATAACTTCCAAATATTTGTTGCTCATTGTACGTGATGTAAATGTAAAAGTGAAAATTGAAAAACGTAGGTACCATTTCTGCTAAACGCTAATGCAGACTAAATTAATCTACTTTATTGTGGGACATTTAAAGATTTCATTGGTACATTTTCATTATCCTTCATATAACATAATTCCGTTTCTAGAAAAAAAAACGAAATGGTAATTTTCGATCGATGGGCACATTTTCCACTATGCTTGCATTTTGTCTAGTTACTTCCTTTTGATGCTGCGTGCACAGTGGAAAGGTACTCTAGAGCCCTTGAAACTCTTAGTGTATATTTTTTGAAAGTTTTCACTTTGCGTCACCTTTCTTAGTACATTTCTCTATAAATGCACCTTCTATCTGCGTGAATTCCATCCACACGTCTGACGGTCTAAGGTCAAAGCGTGCTGAGAACTGCGCTTCTCTTTATTTAATGGGTGCACGAAAAGAAAAATTTCTATGTTTATTTTGATTTTTTTTTTCTCAAAACGTTTGACTAATAGTTGTTCTTATTTGAAATTATTTCTTCTTTTCAGATGGTGGCGATGGAGACAGGATCAGCAAAAATCGACGAACCCAGCTGTGCGGTTCCACATCTTAGATTAATGGCCAGGCCAGACCAAATTAATACGGTTAGGGGTGAGTTTTTACTTTTAAATTAGGGCTCAAGTACCTTGATACCTTTAATAAACGATACTCCAAATGCAATAATGAGGAAGCAAAACTTACAAGTTTTTAAAATTTGAATGGGTAATTAGAAAGGGTAAATTTACGCTTTTTATTGAGCTTATTTCCCCAATTCAACATGTGCACATAGGTATAGCATTAATTAATACATGTGAAGGATATATACGATATTGAATTTTTGTATATAACACATCTGTCATCTATACAGGGTGGGCCATTAGTGTGTGGGTGGAAGATTGTTTATTAACGCACATATTTAAAATTCATTGGCGAGGCATGAAATATTTTCAACGAAATTGCAATTGTTATACAGGGCGATTTAAATCAAAGTTGCCTTTTTTAATAGAACCCCCTATATATTATTACATATTTCGATTTCTTGGTCAATTTTAGTGTGCCTTATGTATTACACATGATATTTAAAATGAGTAGTTTAGCCACAATTTGTAGATTTTTCAAAAAGTAGATGTCCAGTGAATATCACAGTTATCATTAAACTGAGAAGGCCGTGACTCGGCAGTATTACTATCCAAGAAAATGTAGTAATAACGGGCGATCAAAAATGAGTTGCTGTCGAGTCGCCTTTGGAAGTTCAAGTTTTACGTACGTTTTCCGATGTTAACAAAAATTCCTTCCAAAGGTGACTCGAGAGCAACTAATTTTTGATCGCATAGTATACGCCGAACGGCTAAAGTTAAACTTATTTTGTGTTAAAAGAAATCACCCCGTCAATTTTCAAAATTTCAATCAAAGGTAACTTGATTTTTTTAAACGGAACTAGCAAGTTTTTTTTATTGAATTAAATGTAGTTAAAATTAAAATAAAGAGAAAAATAACAATTATTTCAATAAATGTTCAAAAGCAAACATTTGTCGATGGGTTTAGAAAATCATTCTTTCACACAACGAAGCGCAGCTGGCGTTATGGATGCGAAAGCATTACGAATCAACATTTTTAAGTTTTGAAGTTAATAAGTAAAGTCAACGGAGTCCCAAAAGAAAGCAGGCCTCAAAAATTTTGAATAAAATCTTGAATAACATGAAAACCTTTGGTGGTGGGTATAGAAAAATGTATGTATCAAACGACGTAGAATTTCATGTAGATTGCGAAAATGCAATAAAATACAGGGTGTTCTATTTACAATAAGAGAGTTATCCCCATCCGGTAGAACGGAAAGTGAAACGATCATGGTAATATTTTCTTTTGATAGATGATAAAAAACTATGTTGGTATGCAAATTTTTGGCGTTTAACGTTTGAAATTTCTAAAATTTTCTTTTACATTCGAAATGGTGGGGGGGGGGGGCAGACATTCTGCCATTCATTGTATTCTAATGCAACCTTTTTGACTTAAAATTTATCTTTGTTCCAGATTCCACAAGAGCAGCCGTATAAAGGTAGGATCTTTCTTCTTATAAATTGACTATGGTGGTTTATTTATGAATTTACCACATGAATAACGCGATAAAAAATAATCAACTACTTATTGTCGTAATAAGTAAGTTGTGGTCATCATCAACTTCATCTTGGTTGTGTAAAATGAACTACTTTTGTTTTTTCGAAGTCTCTTGCGGTCTTATTCGGTTTACTTCGCATTAACCAGTAATGCTATGAATTCATAGCCATACCAGTTGTGTATGAAGTGAACAGAGTTTCTTTGCCTACTAGACTATGAAAAATCATTTAATTCATGGAACCTTAGGTACCTATAATTACCAATATTCGAAAATCGTCTGAGAACCATTTTCACCCGCATAACTAAAATTTTTTTTTGTAATAAGGTTCTCTATTAAAACCGTGAACGTTCAGCACCCTTTTTGGCGCATTTCAGCCACACTTGTTTTTTATCGTAGGGTGCGTAAACTGTGGCTATCTTCCCAACTTTATGTTGATGCCCTATGATTACAAAGGTTTTTCGAGATGTCTCTTGCGGTCTCATTCCGTTTATTTCACATTAACCAGTAATGCTATGAATTCATAGCCATACTAGTTGTATGAAGTGAGCGGATTTTTTCTGCGAACCAGACTACGAAAAATCATTGCAGTCGTGGAACCTGGAGTAGCTATCACTATGAGTTCGTAAAAAGTGTCCACCCGACACCTGGGTTGAATTAAAAAAATCCTTTTTTAGATTTGTCTTTAATATTTAAAAAATAAATTAAATAATATTACTTCACCAAATATAAACTATTTGCATTTTTAGATAATAAAAAATAATTTTTTATAAAAAGGCTCTCTCTCTAAAACATTTTCTTCCTAGCCGTTTGTAATGCTAATTTATCCAGAATTTCCTCAACATTTATGGGGTCTAATATACAGGGTGATTCGAGAGAAAATGTAAATATTTTAAAATCACATCTAGGAAGCTAAAATAAGCAAAATAAGCTGATATGTTCAAATCCGATTTTCATTTGTTTCAGAGATAATTGGTTTTTCCTTTTTAAAAAGTTAATGAAGTTAAATTTGACAACGCTGTCAGTGACAGTTTGTTGTCATAATTGATTGACTTTTGCAATACTTAAAATCATTCAAAGTCCGAATCTTCAGCATACCCCTGTGGTGGGTTAATACAATCCTCATCATTAATTCGCTATTATTAGAGCATTATGAAATAGCCAATAAAAACAAAGCTTTATCGTGCGTCGCCAACCAACAAAACCATACCTTTGTTTCCATTGGCTATTTCTTAATGATTTAGTGATAGGGAACTAACGATAATGATTGTATAAATCCAGCATCAATCTTTAGAGTCATCACAATATTTTCAATTTTAAGAGCGTTTAGTGATGATTTTCAGAAGCTTCTCTACGTATACAATCTTTTGGAAGCTCATAATCCTTAGATTCATAAATTTGGTAGATAATTGGAATCAATGGAATTTTTAGAATCTACAGAATGGTGTGGTTTCAACGCAAAAGAGTGTTGAGATATTGGATAAATCGGTAATTTTTAGAAAATAGAACAAAAAAATAAATAAATGAAGTGAAATTTTCCGTTTAACTGAATTATTAAGTGGTAGAGCAAAGCAACCAAGCTTTATAGGGTAGTCCATGGTACGTGCTCATTTACTATTTTTCAATTCGGAAAACCTCGGAAAAATTAGAAGTTAGTATTTGCGTAATTATAATTTATAATAATTTCTCCGATTTCCCATAACAAAAAATTACAAATGGGCACATAGAATAGACGTAGAATTTTACAATCTACAAAAGGGGTGAACATATTTCAATATAAAGAAATTACCATTGAAATATCTATAGTGCGTAAACCAATTCTACTCCCTGTATCCTATTAACAAATGTTACGAAATATTGTACCTACAGTGAATTAAAATGGTAAAGGCTACGGTTTTGTATGTTCCCACACATTCAATGCATCTTTAATTAAGTTTGTTTGAAAGGTAGAGAGCATACCCCCGAAATAACTCGACGTTAATAAATGCTAAATGATCTACCTATTTTTAGTGCATGGGGCAAATGTATTTCCATTACGTAAAGAATTGTGGAAAGTAAATTTAATTGAAATGTCTCTTTAATTAGAAATCAGGCACGTTTTAATACACGTCAACCTAAAATTATCGAATGTGGGACGTTCGTTCTAAGATATTCGAAAACTGATCCATAATGGATCATTTCTCAGAAATAGACCAAAAAGTCACAATACTAAAATCATGTTATAAAACTAAAAATCACAAAAGCAGTAAAAATCGCGGTATGAGATTTTAGCAATTAGATAGAAGTTTTTGTTCAACATTGAAAAGACACGGATTGTGTAATTTTAATGGTAGATACTGTATCATTTCAGGGTGTTTGTATTGACAAATGTAGTATTTTGTTTTTAATTACAATTGACATGACAAATAATTATTACAAGACCCAAGAATTTGATAAACTATTTCTGAAACTTAGAATAACATTCCACTGGGGAAATCGCTCTTTATGGCGACAAATTTGTACGCTTTTGATAACTCACCGGCGAATTTTTATTTTTTCGAGACCGCTCTCAAAGCCAAATCCTCTTCATTACCTCTTCTGTACTAATTCCCAATCAGTGTTTAGATAATTAAACCCGCCCTAAATGGTGGACTGTTACTAAAGGCAACCATTAATTAATTTTCATTGGTTAAGGCTCTCTTTTCAACCAATCCCAGTGGTTTTTCAAAACCTACGCAATTAAAAAAAGTACACTCCAGCATCTTTCACGCGTACTTGTTTCCTGGATGCAACGTCAGAAATGTAAAACTAGACCATCGTTAAACCGGATATAATTTGATCCAAAAACTGGCGTGGACCAGTTTAATTAAACCCATTGAGAAAAAAAACACACTCAAAAACAAATTAATCTTGACTCCAATCAAACAAATTAAATTAGCACGATCAATATTTGTCTGGGAAAACATTCTTTATTAATTTTTTGCGGGAAAATCGAGAAAATCAATTCCAAAAATAAAAGGTACAACACATACAACAAATTTTAATTGTGGGGGTTGTAACTTTTGTTGTATATCAATTGTTGATTATTGAGAATTGCCTATATTACCAAATATCTTTTTGTTTCGTGAATAGTTTCTGCTTAAATTGTCTATAAGAACCCCCTCCCCCCTCCATTGCCCTCTAGAAATAAAGCTCCTTTTAGGATTATAATTCACATAATACATGTACAGTAGCGTGTGTCCTATTTTGGTTGAGGCTGCAGTGTATCTCAGCTGGTTTAAAAGATAGAGACCTGCGGTTTTCGCGACACCGTGCCAGTTTTTTCTGAAATTTTTAATACCACGAACAGAATTAATGTAGCTACGTGTGTTTTTGAGATACAGGGTGAAAATTAATAGTTTGCCTACCCATGTAAGATGGGACAAATGTCTGTTTTTAGATATTTTTCCGTAGAATCCAGTGGCGTACCTAACATTCTTTTTCCTGATTACATTGATGTATCACAACCTACTTTTTTTAAAATTTTAGTCATGAAAATCAATAAAAACCTTATTTTTTACTATTTTAAATAGTAGGCAATGGATTCATGTGGATTTTGTTTTGTTTACTGTATCCATGGTAACTAAGGCATGAGATAATAGCATGCAAATTAAGTCAAGAAGTGAAACAGAGTGAGAGGTTTGGGGTTCAAGTAATATAAAGCCCAATCGTAATTCCTTTGTGCTGCTATTCAACATTTGAGTATATGATATTAATAGTTACGTTAAGCCAACACTAGGTATCTAATTTTATGGAGGCAACGTGACATCGAAAGATCTTTAATACCTGTATCTAGATCTTATTATGGCATAATTTACAGCACCATAAAGTTTATTTCTATATTACTTTCCGTACGACAGTATGTTTTAATTTGAGTCTTGCTGATAATATATTACAGGCAAGTACAGCATGTCGTAAAAGAGATGTTCTCGGTTCTCTTATTTATGTACAAAGTTGAATACCCAGTAGGTCTTTTGAGTGAAATGATCATTCTTAGGATAGTCACGTCTTGGAGCCTACTTACCAAAAATTAGTAGCGTTAAATCAGAGACCGCTAAATTGAATAAGTAGTAGTTGGTCGCAGTGTGAAGGGCCGGATGGCGAGTAATCACAACACACACGCTTATATTACCCACCAACCCAGTCACGAATATTATCACGTTAGCCAAAGTTAAAGGTATAGCCACTTCCAAAGGCAACTGCTTGTTTCCTCTTAGGTTTTTCAAGAAATCCGAAACAGATGTGTTACTGGCAAAGCTAAAATTATCATCGTTCTCTATGACTTCAGACACTAATGAGCCCATCTTGAAAGCAAATTTAAGACGAAGTGTTGCACTGTCATAACTCTTTGGCCGTAACGTAATTCACTTTGGTAATTTGGTAATACGCCACTTAGATCGCTCGTTCGCAACTAACGCTTTGTACCGACCCTCGCAATGAGCGAAGCTGCACTTGTATTCCATAAACTCGTGCCACATTTCTCAATTACAGCTTCTACTAATTATACACGACAAGATAATGTATCATCGGATAGGTACATAATACACAAAGAGATAAAGTGAGAATTTACTTATACCTCCTCGAGATACCTACATCAGTTGTAACGAACGCAATTTAAAGCACCTTTTATCACGTGCATTTCCATCAAAAAAATTTCAAGTGTACCTCTATAGATCATAATTGGAAACTGCATTTCCATTAATACATGGTCTTGTCATTAGCGTTTCGTACAATGTGCTGCAGGAGTTTTAATTACGTGCAACTTGTTAATTATGATTTCTGACTATGCACTATAAAATGATATTATTAGATTCTCTGTTTTGGTTCTATCCTTTCTACATAGTGGACCCTTCTGTAACGTTCCGAGTATCATCTAAAGCATAAATATTTCATCTTTCAAAGTACCTACAACAAACTAAATTTCTGGGTAAATATTTACGGAAATGCTATTCATTACGTCTTACCTTTATGTTTATTAGTATTCAAAGATTATACTGATTAGCAGATTGAAATTATCTCTTTAGACTTGAGCAACAAATAATAGTTATTTATGTATCAAGGGTATTAAGGCGATATTTATGCCGAGGGCGACAGCTTTGACCCGAGGGATTGTAAGTCGCCCGAGGATTAATGCCTGAGGTGCATACGAAATTTTATTTTTCATAATTCCAAATAATGCATTTGCAATATACAAATGTAATGAATGATTATTGTTTGACCAACATTAAAGTGCTTCATACGAATCAAGTAGCATCTTTTTTTAATACATATAATATAATTCCATCAATATATTTGACAGGCCGTTTGAGGGCATAATGAGATGGACGTCATGTGCTGCTCTCGTATATCTCGTATGACAGATATAGTTGGCATATAATAGGCAAATGCAAAATAAAATAAATTGAAGGAAATGTTTTACTGTGGATACTTGACATTACAGTTGATATGCATAGAAGTCACTTTTCAGGAAGAAATGCCTTCAAACAGTAACATTTCTTCATTTTCTTTCGGAAGATTTAATTGGATTAAATAAGCTTTTGGTCAACGTCTATAAAATTGTTGTTTAAGCTGTTCAATTTTTTGCCAATGTGATAACTTATTTTTATTTTTATGACCTGTGAGTTTCGAGTAAATCACACCAATTTTCTTATTTCTTATGGACGTCATATTGGATTTTTACGTCACTCGATGTGGGAAAAAAATCACAAAATCGGCGATACATTTTTTCATTTGGGAAGTTTACAATGTATTTTTATGGCAATAATCCAATGGCTGATTGTATTAAAACCAAATTCATTTGTTTATTGTTTCACATAGTCACCATCAACACTGCCATGGAATTATTGCCATATGAAATACATGGTAAACTTCAAAATAAAAATTCAAGGTTGATTTCCAAATGAAATAGTAAGTGTTTGGTATCACTGGTTTTGTAATTTTTTTTCTATTGAATTACATAAAATCCAATATGACGTCCATAAGAAATCAAAAAGTTGATGTCAATCGAAACCCACAGGTCATAAAGTTTGTATTTTACCACCATCAGAAAGTTGAAAAAAAATTACTAAAGGTTTGTTCAAACTATTTTTCGAAAATGAAATTTTTCGGTTTTTTTAGCTATATCTTCGCTAGTTGTGGACCTAACAAGAAACTATGAATAGGATAATTACTCGGTATAAAATTATGCATGACTGTGTCCATTTAAGCGACTTTGTATCTCACCGTTTACGAGATCTCCATAGTGAAAATGAAAAAAACTCGCCCTGTATAATTAGTGCTATCATTTGAATTGTTTTGTTGCCTCGAATAGATTTGTTTTTTTTTATTCGTCACAGACTACTTGATTAAAATACAAAAACCGTTAATATAACTAGTATCTTATTTTCAATCTTATGTTATGATGGCTCGTTGAAAAGAGAATTAAAAAATCTATCAAGTAATCTAAAAATCCAATATGGCGCCCATTTAACTTTAGGAAGTTGGTAAATGTTCCTCAAAAGTGGCCATCTTAAATTTTTTTTTTGACATCAATTCTAAATTAAGCGTATCAAAGACAGTCACTTTTATATAAAACTTATATAAAACTTTTTTTTATATCTCTTATACTTTCGATGATATAAGACATTCAAGGAAATGACCAATTTTAGTTTTTTTGAATTTACGACGAACCTATGCGACATTTTGAATTTCCATAAGGAAATTTATATAAGCATCCAAAACTGCAAAACATTGCTCATTTAACCAATTCTCTATCTTTAATAATAACAAAGTTACCCATGCAATCCCACGCGATCTGGGACACACTGTATATCTCGCCTCTCGAAGTGAAATAGCTTGCATTTAACTAAACAATTTCCAATGTCATTTACACTATAGTTGTACTGATCGTCACGTGTGGGGCACAATGTTGAATAGCAGCACAAAGGAATTACGATTGTTCTTTATATTACTTGAACCCCAAACCTATCACCCTGTTTCACCATGTTACCATGGATACAATAAACAAAACAAAATCTACATGAATCCATTGCCTACTATTTAATTAAAAACAGTAAAAGAATAAGGTTTTTATTGATTATCGTGGCTAAAATAAAAAAAATATTTAAGTTGTGATACATCAATGTAATCAAGAATAAGAATGCAAACAGTATATAAATTCCACCCATCTTTGGGCCAAGTCTCAGAAACGGACGTAAAAAAAAATACTTGTTGCCCACAACTTTGTCTTGGACTCTTGGGATTAAACACACCCTCCGTGTACACTATCTTATTTCATTAAATTCAATCTAATTCCGGATTCATAATTACAAAGGAACGGCGCTATAATAAACGTTTCAATTATTCTATTGCCTAGGGCCTTATACGCAGTTTCTCCATTCAATTTCAACCCCTGTTCGATCATTCCATTTTGCAATGCTAGTCGGCATTTCGTATTATCATTACTTTAATATTACATAAATACAACGTTAAACTAAATTGAAGTGGCCTGTAACAATATGTATTATTCTACACAATTTCCATGTAGATGTATTTTATCCTAAACGCTAATATTTCACTTTAATTGAGTTTCTATACACTTAAACTTATTATGCTTAATGGAAACTAATTGAATTATGTACCTACTATACACTAGGCACGTAACACTTCTAGGTTTACCTACATACTTATTTCACGACAGTTTGGGAGCATAATTCTGTATACACGTTTAATTAATATGTATGTTACACGCGCTAGAATACATAGAACAAGCGGAATGCCAAATTATAATTTGGTTTCCATACCTACAGGTGCACATTCTGATAATTTTTAGGATTTCCAAAAAAATCGTCTCTTTTAGTATCTTCCAACTTCGTAACTGGCAGCTGATCTAATAGGCGACATCTCGATGATTTCTGATCGAATACAACCTTCCGGAAACGATTTCGTTTCCCTTTTCTCATTCTTATCGACGCCGTCTCCAATCGTCTTCTCATGAACAAAATTAAACATCCACATGGACGGTATGCTACCGAAGAAACCTTTAAGCCGATCACAAATTTTTAGTTTTTGTTCATTCGGCGGTTCGTGTAATTCTTTTTCGGAAAGGAACTGATTCTTGAAACCATTGCTATGCGTGGAGGGCCAGGATGCCCTGAACTGGGACGATATCGGCACCGGCAGGAATACGATGCCCTTGCATACTTGATCCTTCCCAGTTGAATCCGCTGTGGACGATTTGAGCAGTTGCTCCAACCGAGCGATTTCCTTATCCAATGTTTCTAGTTCGGTTTTGTACACTTTGTTTTGTACCTCTATACGATACAGGACTTCACGATGATCCTCTATTAAAAATCGTCTCGTATTATATTCAATTTTTAAACCCATACTTTGCGCTATCGAATTCTCGCCATCGGATTCGCTGAGAACTGCGCGCAATTTTGGCGTAAACAAAAGTAGTAGCGTGATTGTGGTTGACGCGAGAATACTTAGCGAGGTCACTAAAAAGCTTACTGTTGTATAATCGGAAAGAAAATTCAACAGTAGGACGACGGTCGAGCTAGATACAACGCTGTAAACGCATATTCCTATGTATTTGGAATCGTTTAGAGATGGTATCTTGATGTGTCTTGTTTCCCATGCCATATACACGCCCATTATTAGTAAGAAACCTTTGTAACTGTAGATTACAACAAACCAACCTGTCGTGTTTTCGGATCGGCATACTTCTACCTGTAACATACGAAAATTTCAGTTGGTATTATTATTCCTGTAGAATTTATAGACCGAATTCAATTCAAGAAAAACCATATTTAATGGCAGCAAAAATACTAGAAACGACAATAATTAAAATTTTTAAATTATTTTCGGGGGCTACTTTACTTATGTTTTTTTAATTGAATTTGGTAGAATTGGTCCCCCAAATTCAATGAGTAATATCAAAGTTACCCTTGATTAGGAATTTTTTAAACACAAAATTAAATTTTTGAAAATTTTGTAGCGTGCCATGGAAACAATCCTCTTTACGCATCGAGTGGAACAGAAATCGTGATGACTGGATTACTACAAAAATGCTATAAATAACCTCAATTAAAATACTGGAGAAATTGCTTAAATTATGGCTACTATTTTGTTCAATGCACAACTGGCACTTACGATTCTGCGAATTACTCCATACACCGAAATTTAACAAAACATTTGGTGGTATTTCGCGACAAACAGTCTCAGATGGTCCATATTGGCTGGCACTTACATAAACCCGGTCTCGGATGTGGCCCGACCATCTAATTCCATGGCATACTATAAAATTTTGAAAAATAAACTTCTTTTGTTATATTGTGTAAAAAATTACAATCAAAAGTAACTTTGATATTAATCATTAAATGTACAAGTTCTATCAAATTCAATTAAAAAAAAAACATAATCGTGCCATTTAAAATATTTAAATCAACTATTAGCTCCCAAACATAATAATTTAAAACATTTGAATTATGGTCGTATTCTAGTATTTTTGCACTTTGTCATTAAATGTGGTTTTTGTTGCATTAAATTTGGACAAAAACTGTAGGCGCTTCAACTTGCGGCGTTTTTTTAATTACACCGCGGGATTAAACAATAATCCTACCTTAAAAACTCTCCAGGAAATATCCAAGTTTGCTTAAAAAACAAGTTGAATATTTTCAAAGAATGCGTAAAAACCTACATCTGGACGGTCCTTTGAAATACAGGGTGTTAGGTAAACGTTTCTGGGAATGTGAAATAGCTGGTAGGTTTCTGAAAATTTGTACTTAGGACTCCGAAGACTGAATCGATGTAAAATATTTTCAAAATGGCGGCCCTTCCTGAAATACCGGAAGTGGCTAGTAACTTCGCAGTAACTTCAAAAAAGCAAGGTTGCTACGCAAGGTGAGGGTTACTTATGTGGAATTATTCGGAAAAAATTAATAAAATTGCAACATTGACGAAAAATCATAATGTGAATGGGTTTCAATTTTGAGGTTAATAAATGATATCGAAACAACCAAAAATATTGTACTTGAAAAATCAGTTATTTATTTACATTATAAAAATGGGACACCCTGTACGTACATTCAAAAATGGTTTTTATAGATACGCAACCATCTACAGAGTGTACCTTTTCCAGCGATAAAACTCTTCACTACGTGATTGCATCAATGCAATTGAGTTTTTACGTCTACCTTGATCTTGCAGTTTGCATCAGTCACAGTCATTTGTAACTGTGGTATAATTTCAAATAACTTGCGTCTAATTTGGACAGTGTTGCCAGATTTAAAAATTTTGATTAGACTTTTTTATTCAGAAAATAATGCGGAATTACGTAGTGATATCGCTCGAAAAGATACACCCTGTATAGTTGACATTTTCACGAACGCTTTTTAAATATTTTTTACGAGGTATGAGCTAGGAAAGACCGACGCACTGTTGCAGGACCCTGTATATTGTTTAATTCATTACAACTTCTCTTCTTTTGTTAAGCTGAAATAATCATAAGTTTGTATTTTTAATTTGAAAAAATGTAAATTGATTTTGCAACCGTGCGCCCCTTGAAACTATGCGCCTCTAGGCCGGGGCTTTGTGGGCCTAGTGGTAAAACCAGCCCTGCGTATATGGGCACATACGAGTACAAAACGCGTAGGTTACGGAGAAGATAGTGACGTTTTGACATTTATGAAATTTAAAAAAATGCATATCAAATCATACAAAATGTAAAAATGACTTCTATAAGAAACAACAAACTTGATGATGGTTAGCCAGAGCCGAAACGTCAGACTTATAATTTTAGCATCTTATAAACTTATATAGGGAAAAAAGTGGCCATAATAATGTGTCATTTATTTTGAAATATCTTTTAAAATAACTTCGGTAAAACATAAAAACGATTTTCCAAAATTTCGTTTTCTTCAGGATATCTCCGAAAGTAGTCGGAATTTTTTCAGTTTTAAAACTACACTACTATGAAAAGAATTGAAATTTCACCTAAATATGCAATTAAAAGTAAGGGTTGCCATTTAAAATAACAAAGTTACTAGGTACTTCCGGAAGTCTCACCATTTTGAAAATATTTTACATTGATTCGGCGTTTAGAGTAACTCCCTAAGTATAAATTCTCAAAAACCTACCTATTTTACTTTCCCAGAAACGTTTAACTAAAGCTCCCAAAAAAACACCCTGTATAAGTAACGATTACTGTTACTAGTACGTAGTTTAGGCTGCCTTTCGTATTTGTGTGGGGTACTTTTAGTCACCTCCAATGTCTCTTTTAATATTTATAATATTTAAAGAAAGTTATAGGCAGATGAGATTTATCCCAAACTGCAATTTTGGGTGGGTATAGTCCATTTGTTATTACTGTTCCGATGTAATTAATCCCACTAAATGCAGCGTTAACTTTTTCTACTTCACGTAGTCGATTTAAACATAAACAATTCTCTCAAACAAACTGCAACGCGTTATTGTTGACGTGTAGAATAAACAAAGTAAGGTTAATCGATTCTAGATCGTATTGCTTACGTCAAATAATATTAATTAAACTGAATTTCGCTTGCATCCAGTTTTTGTTTACGCCTACTTGATGCCATGCCATGCAAGCGAAATTCACTTCAATCAACATTCTTTAACGTAAGCGATATGAGCTAGAATTGCTTAACGGGTGCGGTACCTTACTTTGTTCATTCATATTCTGCACGTCAACAATAACGCGTTGCAGTTTGTTTGAGAGAATTGTTTATATTAAATCGACAACGTGAAGTAAAAAAAGTTAACGCTGCCTTTCGTGGGGTAAATTACATATCGGAATAGTAATAACGGATGGACTATAGTAAAACGTTCCTCGTTTGCAGAGGTTGTAACTTTTGTAGTACATTGGTTGGGCACCTATTTGCAATAATTTGCTACGAGATTAAACATTTTTTGATAAATAACAAAATGAAGTGCCATTTATGTTTTGAGAATAACATCTTTTAATTAACTTCTCTATTTTCTATACATTTTTGTAATCTGTAAAACTTTTTCCAACATTTCTGCTCCAATATTATTTATTTCTTCCGAAATACGAATTTTAAGTTCTTGGATGGTATACTGAGGGCCGCCTTTCTTAAACCTTACCCTTTAAATATCTCCTCCAGAATCAACAAACTTAGAAGGGAATCCTAAGGGGGAAAGCAGTACTAATTACAATAAGTTTTTAACGTGGTTTCCCCGGTAGGCCTACTCCATGATCTGTTATGATGGAGTTTATGGGATGGATGGATGTTCATAAATTGTTTCTACACCTTATTACATACTGCTTTTAACCCACTACTATTATATCTATGTACAGGGTGGCCAACTAAGAATGCGAGGTACTGTATCTGAGAACCTATCCATCGTAGAGGCTTGCGGTAAAAAAAAGTTATTATTAAAACGGCCACGAGAAACACCTGCAACATATTTTTAAGTTTCCGAAATGGCCGCTAGGGGGCGTAACTGCAATCTGGAATCTAAAAAAGTGATATTTCTGTGAATTACGCTACATTAACCTAACAAAAAATGTCCAGTCTTTGAAGTCTACGATAATCTAAACCTTTTTTGTTTGACAATTTTTGCGGTATCTCTAAAAATGAAGTGGTGGAGGGTATTCAAAGGTTTCCGTAAAGGACACCCTGTATCTTCGAAACATCTGAGCCGATTTAAACAAACTTGGGTTAATTGAAAAGAGTTATTCCTCAGCTACAAATATTATAATATCTGAATTTTGTTAGTTTTACATATCATCGCTTGAGGGCTTTTTTCAACATTCCGACAGAAATGGTTAATTTTCTCAAACAAATTAAATGCATTGGTTCAATTTTTTTCTATGAAAAAGTGGCTAAATGATGCCTAAACAAGCTCGCGAAAACCGCATCTCGATATCTTGAGGTTATATATGTAATATATTGATATATATATATCGTGACGGTCAGCATTTCGAGCATTTACGGCGGCATTAAAAGCTTCCTTTTTTAAATTGATCCACCTTAGACCCACAAATTATATAATAAAAATAATTCCGGAAAAATTAGCTTAAAAAAATAAAAATTTGAGGGTATCAAATTTTCTTTGGTCTAATTTTTAGGTTAGGAACAAGATATCGAGATGCGGTTTTCGCGAGCTCGTTTAGGCACCATTTAGCTACTTTTTCATGGAAAAAAATCAAGCCAAGGCATTTAATTTTTTTGAGAAAATTAACCATTTCTGTCGGAATGTCGAAAAAAGCCCTCAAGCGGTAATATGTGAAACTGACAAAACTTCAAATATTATAATATTTGTAGCTGAAGAATAACTCTTTTCAATTAACCCGAGTTTGTTAAAATCGGCTCAGTCGTTTCGAAGATACAGGGTGTTCTTTACGGAAACCTTTGAATATCCCCCACCACTTCATTTTCGGAGATACAGCAATAACTGTCAAACAAAAAAGGTTCAGATTATTGTCAACTTCAAAGACCGCAAGCCTCTACGATGAACAGGTTCCCAGATACAGTACCTCGCATTCTTATTTCGCCACCCTGTACATTTGCTACGCCACCTAGTATTTTAAATTATTAGTTGCAGGGTAGACTGACGGACGGATCTCAAAAAAGAGCTAAAGCTGAATCTTTCACTACTACTCTTAAATAATTGTTTTCAAACCTGGTCTAAATAATTAAAACGTACCTGGGGTTGATAAGCTAATCCTTTATTTTCCAAATTTATTTCTATAGGAAGATCTTTTAGCGTTTTCTTTAAAGGATCTACCATAATCCACAGCAGAACTATTGCTCCATCGATGATCAGTAAGACACAAATTAAAGCAATAAGCTGCTTATCTTTCAACAGTTTATCCTTGATCAAGCTAGTTGCGCTGTACGTAAATATCCGATGCACTCGATACGTTTTTGCGAAAATTGATCCAAATGTCAGTGAGAATCCCGTTGAAAATAGATATACTCTAATCTACAAATTTATGTACGTTAAACTTTGTTCGGCTGATCAACCGAAACTTACCGTGCACAAGTGAGACTGATTTATGTCGAAAAAGGCGTTACCTTGATCGAAACCCAAAAAAACAACAGCAAGATAAACAAGAATACAACCGAACACTACAAAATTGTTCAGTCTAGGACTCGACAATTTAAACGCGTGTCTCTTTTTGAAGTGCAGGTTGAAATAAAGTAGAACCATCGACAAAATAATGCCGAAGGTAGCAAAACCAAATACAACAAAAAATGCCAATTTTGGTATCGTAACCAAACGAAATTTTAGTATCCTTTGGTCGATTGGAGTTTCGCCTCCGTGCCACTTGATGTTGGAACATTGCAGGCACTCAAAATCCAGAAAACCGTTTTCAGCGTAATATATGGCAACGGTGCTTAAATTTCCATCTGTAAAAGTAATAAACATGATAGATAGGCGTTTGAACATCACCGTCCACTTACTTTGTAATTGTTTCAATATCGAATTTCCGATTCGATCAGCTCCATCGAACTTCACTGGGCCCTTTTAGACAAAAAGTGTTAAAAACAGGAAATTTAGCTTTTTATTGACTAAAATAAAGTGTCATCATGATCATGCAAAGTGCCATGGATCTACAGACTATTCATGCTAAAGGAGTTTACCGAAATTCCAATGAACTTTAAAGATGCCATCGAAGTAACAAACTTTTTCACCATATCTGGATTATTATAATTAAATTTTGTTAGGTATCCGCTGTGTTTACAAAGCGTTGATTCCCGTAAAATTAGAGCCATTGTCCAAATGGCGTCATACGTCTGAGGTGCATGTTTCGAAACATTTATTTTGGAGATGTTCAGTTGCTCTTCAAATTCAATGTTGGACTGGAAAGAAACTCCTCCTTAAAGTCGTATACAAAGTAACGCTTGTTTGAAGGTTGTTTTCATTTTGGAAACCGGACTCATATTTAGACATAGTTAAATAGGAGGGTACTTAACAATACATGGGAGATTTATGGTACTTTTCGTTAAAACTTACAATTCCAGAAATTGCGGTTTCATTGTGTGACAAGTAATTATAATCCGAAACCAAAACAACCCCTTCAACCGCCTTACGTAGTGCTTCGGTATTACATTCCTTAGAGTTCTCCCACCAAATTCCATTTTGATCTTGCAGTATCCAAACGTAATCCTTTCCGTACATTTTTAGGTTGTACACCTTCAACAACATCGGTTTTCATTGCGAAAGTGACACAGAATTTACCTCGCAGAATATTTTTGGTGCCATCTTTTCGGAAAACCCCCCGATTATAATTCTAGTATCTCGTTCCTAAAAAGCGTAACACTTTTAGTTGTTATTGTCGATTTCCTGATAAATTAAAGAAACAATTTTTGACTTTATCCCACTACGGGAAAAGCATCTACATACTTTTTTGTAGAGAATTAAATTTGGCTATTCAAACATGTCAATTCGTTACTCGGAAAGTAAAGTACTCGGGGCCTCGCACTTCAAATTTTCCTCGCAAGTCATTTCCTGACTGTTATTACCTCACTATTTTTACGCTTACCTTTAAAACGCGCAATTGCTCCTTGTAATTTTCCATAGAAAAGGTAATCATCGCCACGCAATACACGTCAGAGGCTTCAAGTTCCCGCACAAATCTATTTGAGGACAGCTGAAAGGGTTGCTGACTTAGATTAAACGTTGCAACCATTTTCCAACCAAAGTGTTTTATGAAAGATATTCTGGCTGCGTTGTGGGACGAGTCGGGTGCCACCGTCCGAAAAAACAGGGGAAATCTGTTTCTGTCGCTGAGAATCGGAGATGTGGATCCATACGATACCTGTATGGGAGTACATCAATTTTGTTATTTGTCTCTAGGGGTTGTCCCAAGAATACGAATGAGGTTGCATGGGTTACTTTGGTATAATTGAAGATTAGGTTAATTGGAAAATGTTTTTCAATAAAACTACCAAACAGCTACCCATCTAACCCGTCCCGTTCGATTTGGTGACATTGGAGTTGCTCCAAACAATACATATATCAAGCTATTCTATTAAACTTTAAGGGTGTAGATCAATATGCACACCTGTAATATATTCCAATAGGACATTATATTCGCTAGACTCTCGGTAACATTAGAACATCCACTTCCCAGAACCATCAAGACTACCTTGTTGGAATAAATTGCATGAAAAAAATTGTCCACCCCCACGCCAGGATCGCACTAAAATTGAGCACAAATTTGTGAACAACTTATTAACAAATATATATTTTTTTAATTTATTTAACAATAATTCGGGACTTTGCCTTTCACATTGTCAGTGGTCAACAGTTCTGGTTTGTTTTATAACACCTAGGACTTAAACAAACAAAAAATACTACAAACAAGAAACAAATATCTGAAACTTCCTGTTTATATTTTAAAGACATGACATTATTTTATTCCCTCACTTCGGAATATTGAGGATAAAGAGGATACATTTTCAGTAAGCAATTGCATCAAGTGTAGTTATAATGATGTCTGTGACCATGGGGCCGATTAAACTAAGTAATAGCGTATCTTTAATCTAGACAGCCGTGTCCAATTGTATAGTGGTTAATGTCTTTGTTACTACCAATCCCAAATAATTTAAAAATCCTACGCAAAGCTACATATTCTGCAATTTCCAAGCCCGTGTTTTTTTTGTAGCGTATTGCTCATAACTGTAATATTATATTTCCATTAAAAAGGATGTAATTTGACTTCAAGGAGTCACAGGTGATTGGAGAAGTGGTATTACACACGCATCTATTGACTGCAACAATCCAGTTCTACGAATGTCAATATTTGTCTGGGAACTCATTCTTTAACTCGAAAAAATTTCTAACAATTTCTCCCTTTCTTTTTTCTTTCTTTATTACCTTCCTTTTTTTTTCAAAAATCGACTGCACCAAAATTTCTCGGGAAAACACTTTTTCTTATTAATTTTGGTGCGTAGAATCCAAAACAATTCGTACCTTTTCGATCAGACTTCTCAATCAAAAGTTATAGATTAGAAAGAAACCAATGAAATTGAAAAATGCTACCTGGAACAATTCGTAAAATGAGAAAAAGGGCTGTGATTTGTAAACTTTAATGTTCCCTAATATGCCATGAATTGTTTTATACTTATAAATATTGAGTCAGCAAAGATTAAAATTCAAGAACAGTTGATTAATTCTTGAAGTAATAAGGCATCACAGAAATGTCGTTTTAATTGATTTTCCCCCATCTCACTTCAAGCGAAAATTTTCCGTGGTACATTATACAGGGTCGTAATTAAACATGGAACGGAAGCTCTCACCCCAAACCGTTTGAGATATACACATAAAAATTAAAACGCTTCCATTTGAAATTTTTTCACATATTTTGCGGTTAAAAAGATTTTTTTTATACAGGGTGTTTGAGTGTAACCGTCATCGTGAATGTTCTTAAATGGCCACATAGGTAATGTCATTTCTTACTACCTTAATCAAGGATGATGTTAAATTAGAAAATCGCTCATATAAAACTACCTAGCTTTTAATCACTGAACAAATCATCTGATTGGTTAGAATTTGAAACAATCGCCGTGCTGATTGGTCGCATATTAAGGGAGTGTGTTAATCGTTGAAAATTTTGATTCATTTACATGTGGTAAAAAACAATTTACTGAACTTCATTCAAATCGAATCTAGTTTTGACTAAAGGATCATCATCAGGAATTGCGTTAATGATACAAAAAATTGAAGTATAGTGAAAGATGATTGGTAAAATAATTAATGTGAAATTTACGAAGGTATATTTGAAAGATGTTAGCTCTTATGTGTAGTATGGAATGTAATGATCGAATGACTGCAGTGCATGCCAATAATGCAACTGTTTACCCCCAACGTAATCATCTCTTAGGGATTTCGCCCCCAACAAATTAGCCTCGGGAAAATTTACCCGTGGAAGCTTTACTGTATCGTAACCGAAAAACAAACTCTATACTAATATGAAACCACGTGTAACGGTAGCTCTAAATTTTAGATTCAATGTTTTTTATTTTTAGAGGTGTTACATTTTGAGATTTCAAAGGGTTTTTAAGTATGAGGAATGAGAATATGATCTGAATGGGAATCAGAAACTCGGCATGAAATCACGCTTACATCGTAAAAAGCTAAGTCTGTTAAATTTCCGTAGGAAAGAACAACCTTTTTCTTTCGTACCTTCATGAATATAACGATTACTATTGGCGCGATTAAAAAACATAATTCCAAATGAATTCCATGAATTCCAAAATAATTCCATGGATTCCAAAATAATTCCATGAATTCCAAAAAAATTCTATGAATTCCATGAATTCTAATAGAATTCCATGAATTTCAAAAGACTTCCATGAATTCCAAAAGAGTTCAACAAATTCCATAAGAGTTCCATGAATTCCAAGAGGTCCTACACCAGAATTTCAGTGGTTTTCCCCTCGTTTTCAAGTCAAGTAATGCCGAAAAGAATCAAGCTGCTTGTGTTATGAGAACTTTTCACAGCATTTTCGACAACTATAAGGAAAAATCGAAAAGTTTCCCGAGAGATCAAGCTCGTTTCCAGCTTTTCTATTTTCGACGTTTTTCAAAAGGATCTTAATTTTGGGTATACACTATACAGTGATATTTATTAGGAAGTAGACATATGGATTTACGTGTATTGTTTTTCCCTATGTCTACTTTTAAATGAAGAAAACTCTTCTGAAGGGCGCCTAATTTTATGCATCTAAAATAACTTCTTAAAACAACTAAAGATCTGGATGTCATATTAATTAATTTTAATAAAAAAATAAGAATACTGAAGCCAAAGCAACAACGTTCAAATTAATTAATTTGACAGCTAGTGCTTTATTTGTTTTAAGAAGTTAGTTAGGTTGCACAAAATAAGACGCCCTTCAGGACAAATTTTGTCATTTAAAAGTAGACGTAGGCAAAAACAGTACACGTAAATCCCTATGTCTACGTCTTAAATAAATATCACTGTTGATAATTTTGGCAATAAAATCATTTCCTTTTCGTACGGTTGGAGAAAAAATGTTTTAATCGAAGATCCAACTAATAAAAAACTTGCTGATTGCGCACAATTTAAAGGGTGCAAGGTTTATTGATTAGGTACAAGTACCTATTGTTTTTGCATAAAATACTCGAAGTTTAAAAATTGTAACATACCTTAGTGTCGTTTGCCATTAGTTTTAAGGAATATCCGGGTAAAATTTGAAATTCATTGACATGCTCGATTGCCAAATTGGCGGCGGCCAGTTCACTTAATCCCTCCTCTCGTACTCCCCATTTTGTACTTAATTCGAATAGCCCCAGAATGTAAATGTCGTCATTGGAACTACTTCCATTTTGCATCAGGTTCGGTATTTTAAAATAATTTCGGTAATTTTTGAACATTTTCGCATCTTTCAAATTTGTCACCGAAATGTTGGTTCCGTTAGGAAAATATTCACCGTACGCCGCACTTTTACGTTTATACGATAAATACGTGGTAATGCAACCGATAAGTATGATCAACGCACAAACGTGGCCCTGCAAGGGGTTAAAGTTTGCCATTTTCAGATAAAGGGCTGGGATAACGCGACAATACGGTAAAATTAAGAGAATGAAAGTTGAAAAGAACTGTAGTTCTTTCTAGTCCGCAAAAGTTAAGTGGTTTTGTAAGTACCTACCTACCACTTCAAGACGCGCATGAATTGTCGACATTTTTTCTTTGCCAACATAAATGACAAGTCAGCTTTTTGTTCTCCATTTGCCTTGGGCACAAGATTTGCTTTTATTAGTCAGGGGTGGGAATACGAACACAGTATCAATATGTTTTCTTGCTATTAGATGATATTAATTTATTCATTGTTGAACAAATGAAGACGAGCTTTAAAGTAAAATGGCGGTTTGTTCTTAAATTTTGCTGCAGGATCCAAGATATATCCGTCCACTGCGTTGCCCAAGTCGCCCAATCTTTGACAGAACTTATAAGTCCTCAGGAATTCGTTCATAATGAAATACAGACCAAATGCAATTAAAAAAATTTTATTTGTGGGGGTCATTCAGCATTTGAAGGGAAATATGGACTCGTTTATTAATTATTCGTACAGAATTCCCGTTCAAAAGTCTCTACACATAAATAGGAGTTTCGATTCCGTTTATTAATTGCACTCTATTGTGATACTGAGATTATCGCCCTTAATGAACGCACTTTATTTTAATGGCCATTTATACCACTCCAACATTCGTATTAACGTCCCTTGTGCCGAGTCTTTAGTAACTATTGTGCAGTTAATATCTCACAATACAAGTGTGTGGCAAATATAAAGTCTGAAAATCATAGAAAATGTACCTATAACGTTCAATTAAAGCTCCAACCCTCTTGTATTAAATTGAAACTGTATCAATTTTTCGTCCATTTGCTAGTGTAGGATTTGTTTCTTGTTGATGATAGGTGAGAGGGGCTTTTAATAAAAATCGTTAGGTAGAAATTCGTCCCAATGAGCATTGCGGTTTTAACACCGGAAACAAGAAATAAGCCGAAATGTCATCTTGTCTTTTTAGCGGATTTTTGCAAAAAAATTTTTTTGTAAAAAGTAGCTTTTAATCTCACTTTGGCTGGCTGGCTGGCTGGCTGGCTGGCTGGCTGGCTGGCTGGCAGTAAATGCGCGCCCGTAGAAAAACGCTTGTAAAAAGACAAGGAGTGTACATGTAACTATCGGGGCCGTGTAATTAAGAACGTTAGGGATGGGGCTACAAGATTTGGAGTCGACGACATCTGGACGCCATCCCCGAGCGTATTATACTAACCTGGAGATTTTTCAGTTTTTATCTATCTTCTTCTACAGTTTTTCTCCGATTGTTTTCAAATTGGTGTCGTCGGGAAGATCTTGTCAACGCGCACAACTCCTGCGTGGCGGAATTTTGTTTTTTTTTTTCCTAGGGGCGAAATAAACCACCTTTTGCGCGGCGCGCTTCGAGGGGTAGTCGACTTTGGGCGCCCAAAAGTTTCTTACAGCGCGAATCGCGGTCTCTCTTTCTCGTGTCACTAATAGAAGGTCGAGCTATGTGAAGTACTCAAAAGTTGAATACGATTTTATGCCGGGATTTTAGCGAAATCTACCAACATGTGAATTACGAATGAACGGGACGTCGGAACTGTGTATCGACAAAGGGAATGTGGTAACCCCCGACGAGATCTTACTGATGGTGGAGTCGAAACTTCAAATCCGAATTGTTGCGGGTGATCAGAAGTGGGTGTCGACAAAGGGAATATGGTAACCCCCAAAGGATTTTAATGATGGTGGAGTCAAAACTTCAAACGCGAATTGCGAGTGCACGGTAAGTGAGAAAATGGTACCGACAAAGTGAACGTGGTAGCTTTCGGCAAGATCTTATTGATGGTGGAGTCTATATTGGCTAATAAAACACTGATCTGCCACACAAAAATGCGCTGAAGTCCCTTCGATCTCACACGAGGACTTTGATCATTTTTTATTTATGCAGAGTGATGAGTGACCCACTGAAAACAGTCAATGCCGCTTTAAAAAGGGATTTGCAAGAAATCTTCGTCAATTTTTGGTTTTGAGGGGGACATCATTTACATAACTTCACCAGTGAGAATGGGGCGAACCCCAAAAATGTTAATTAGTAAGGGGTGGTAAACGTTAGACAGTGCGATACGCATGTTAATTCTGTTTTGAGCACTGATTTCATGTTTCAAGTCCGATCAGTAGTTCCAAAGAAAACTCGATTTAAATTGATTTGTAAAGCCGTTTTAAATGTTTATCAAGTAGGCGTTGAAATAATTGATAGTTTATGTCAGAAAATAGAATCTGACACAAGTGCATATAGTCCATAGAATAGAGGATTTTAACTTGCAAAATGAGAAGTAGTACCAATTTCTTTGCCATGTTATTGGCAGTCACCTGGTGGTTAAGAATCTATGTTTTCTACCTCCCACACCCCTTCTGCTTCCCCAGTACCACCCCCAATACGCCTGAAATTTCGTTGGTTTCTTAGTTTTATAATCATATCTTTTTAATTGTTCACTTTGGAAAATTATATTGTTATCAGAAATTGTAGACCATAAAATTCTACACAACTTTCATATACACTACTTTTCTGTGAAATGGTTATTAAAAAAGTTATAGAGAGCTTCAAAGTTGCTTATATTTTTAAGAATTCTGAAATTTCTACGTTATAATTATAATTATAATGAAGAGTTTTATGAGAAAATATCTTGAACTTATCGTGATATAAATCCTCCTACCCTGCACCTTTACCAATTTGGATGCAAAATAATTCAACTTTCAATCCTTGCTAGTAGGGATATTTGAATCACTGTGAGATTGTAACCCTTTCTAATATACGTTTTTATTTCAATTGAAAGTGCAACGCTTATTACTTATATTTTCTAATCCTCTCGATCCAGTTTAACCCTTTCCACCCCCTACCGAAATGAATGGTTTATTCTTCTGTTGTTGATTGCTCGTTCGCCCTCATACAGGGTGGGTGACTTGCTTAACGCATCATAGGGATTTCAATGTAAAATTCATAACATGCGATTATTGGCTCCCCAAATTATTTTATAGCAAAAATGTATTAAAGTTTTTTGTAGAAAAAAATTTTTTACGCCAATCAACCGTATTAGCTTTCATTTTTTTTTTCATAATAAAGAAGGAAAATTGGAAAAATAAAACCCGCATCTTTTTCAATAATCTGCGATGCCATGGAATTTTTTAAAACAAAAAGATATCCAGTTATCAATTAGCAGCAATTCGAAATGGATTTTATGATGGACTTGGTTACTGTCTTGCAGTTAATGGTGACTTATTCGAACGTTTATTGTAAATTGTTATATTAGGAAACCGTTTTTAGTAATTTTGTCTTTCTTTATGTTGAATTCGCTGTTCTAAATATAATACTTTTTGATAGAATTTGATTTGTTTTATAGCAGACATTCCATGGCATGACGGATATTGGCGTATAGTTTTTGTATTATAAAATTCCATGGCACCACAGATTAGTGAAAAAGATGCGGGTTTTATTTTTCCAATTTTCCGTCTTTATTTTGCAATAAATTGAAAACTAATACGGTTGATTGATGTAAAAAAATTTTTCCTACAAAAAAACCTTAATACATTTCTGCTCTAAAATAATTTAGGTAGCCAATAATCGCATGTTATGAATTTTACATTGAAATCCCTATGATGCGTTACGCAAGTCACCACCCTGTATAATTTCCGAATACAAATTTCAAATAAACAAGTTGGAAAGTACTCAATGAGTCGAAATACTTAGGCAACTTAAGGTTTGAAAGGCTTGAAAATGAAAACTGTAAATTTACCCATTTATTTTGAATGATAACTTGTTATAACGGGCGGTTAAAAAATAAAAATGAGTTGCTGTCTAGTCGCCTTTGGAAGTTCAAGTTAAGGACGATTTACCATGTAAACAAAAATTCCAAATGTGACTCGACAGTAACTCATTATTGATCGCATAGTATCTATATGGTTGGAAAGAGAAAAAAAACTATATCACAGCATTGAATAAAAATTGTTATTCAATGATCACACTGAGTAAAAATCCAATAGGCATGGCGTCCATTCATGTGCGGACCGAGACCTCAGGGGGCCCTATACTTAATGAATTTCGAGCTCGATATCGGGTTATCGAAAAACATCTTCATTTCTATTTTTATAAGCTCTTCAGAAAGTTATTATTAAAATTACAGGTACCTAAGGCAAACGCACTTTAGTATGAATACAATGAAAAACATTGAAATACAGTAGTCTTGATAATGCGATGTACCGAATTGGGGTAGTATTTTAGATAAATTTTTTGAAAGAAATATCCCTTATGTGATGGTTTTGCACCTCCGTCCGTCCGTCCGTCTGTTCCTCGAGAACGAAAAGAAACAGAGCAAACCTTCTCCAATCAACTCCTACGAGTTCAAGGATCATTGCTTTTGATTATGAGCCGTATTAAAAGTTGCGTTTCCGAATGCGTTCTAAGTGTCAAAAAATTCACCTACTGAAAACGTATACGATGCTTCGTATCTTATTTTTCTTTTGGACCTCGGATTGCACGGAACCTCGGATTACCGCGAATTTACTGTAATTATTAAATATAGCATAAAAAGGAACCCTAACGTAGATGACATGACATGTATGTACCTACCTACCTACAATAAGGCTCTTAGGTTTCACCTGGTGACATAGTTTAATTTTCGGTTCGTTGCTCCCTGTCTCCTGCTTCTCCTTACACTTGTCGTTGGAGAGAAAAGGGGGGCCCTGGGCTGCAACCCATAGAACCACTGCCTAAATCCGCCCCTGCTTCTATTTAAAATTACTCGTAGATGTAAAATAAGGAATTTGATGTCAATGAAGTTATGAAATTTATCCCATCGAATCTTGCAACTTTTATTTGAAACTTTTTTCGATGAAGTTCTTTTGCTACTAAAATATTTGAAAAATCGCGATTTTCACTTTTTTCCAATTATCTACGAAACGATTTTTTTTTTCAAAATATGGCATCGGAATAAGTATCCATCAGCATCAAAACTACACAACTTTGCCAATAATTTAACCGAATCTGTAAAATAGCAAAGGTATAATTTAAGACGCCCTCTGTATAGGTACGTACAGTAGCGGTCAAAAGTTTATCCCAATTATAGTTTGTCGGCAATCACTTTTTATATCAGATCATTGAATAAGTAATCATAGTTAGATATTCAATGATCAGCGATGTTAATAAATAATTTTAAAAAAATAAAGCATCCCCACAACAAATAGTGGCTGACTGACTCGAATTGTTTTTCATAGCCTTCTAAATAACATAAGTATTAATATTTTATTGTCAACAGTAGTAAAATGCTAGTGTGAAAAAATCAAATTGTGATAAACTTTTCGGCCGCTACACGTAATAAACCTTTGAGGACTCATGAAGACTTTTATAAAAGTGTTCAAAAACTCTAAAAGCCTTTAGAAAACTTTTATAAACCCTCACGCCCTTACAAGCTTTCAGGTAGCAAAATGTTCATAGGTATAATTTCGTTTTCCCAGTTTTATTTCTAAACTTCGCCATCATTATGGTTGGGTTCTGAAATACGATTTTAGATTCCCTCGCTTCGCTTTAATTGTTTTCATTTGATGTTTCTTTTGTTGGTAATTTATCTCGTCAGTTACGCATATTATCGAATCAATAGTGTCTTATTGTCCCTTCTCTCTCTCTACCTATTAGGCACATTTCAAAACATATCTACTTATTCAATAGCAGGAAGGTCTGGAATTGAGTATTCAATTGTACTAAACAGGGGTTTGTAAGGATTAAGCCGTCATGAATATTGTATATTCCCTGCAACAAGTATAGGTTCATTTCAACAATGAACAATTGTTCTGTGGAGGGCGTTTTTTCTGGGGATGAATGTATGTGGCGAAAATTACCTGATGGTGAAATTTTTTTGGGGTCAACAGGAATGCATTTGCATATAACTCATAAAGATCACCAGCTCCTAGACTGTCGAGATTATTTATTGATGCGTTTAGATACAGTACAAAATGAAATCCATTAAAAGTCAATAGAATAACATAGTTTTATAAGGTAATAAAAAAAGTTGTTATATATATACCAATAGTTAATGCTTAAACTAATTGACAGTATACCAAAGAGTATGTTGTGCACTCTGATCTTTTACTGTACATCACAAAAAATACACTTTAGTGTTCAGGTAAACATACAATCTACTGAACACACATAAATCATAAATGAAAGATAATTTTAACACAATTATTTACCATCCTAAGAGGTGCGTTTACTTAATTCAAAAGCTCTACAATTTCATACAGGTTTAAATAATCAACAGTGGAAATTTAAAGTGTTAATAAAGTTGTTTAAGAAGCAAAAGTGCATGTAGAAACAAAATCGTGCAACAAGTTGTCTAAAGTCCACTCCTCATCTTTTTCTTTTACATCCTCTTCCAAGCACAGCGATCCTGTTAGTAGAGACAAATTTATGTCATTACTTTTACTCAGGTAGAAAAACTCGTTGGGAGCGTTTTCTTGGGTCAGCTCGTTGGCCAGTTCCTTGTATGTTGAAGGATTAATGAGAATTCTAGAAAACGTTGAATTATTCACCAACATCGTGCTTGGTACATGTTACACACGTGGGTGGTTTGATTTCGGTCGGTCGCAAGATATCTTCTTGTATTTCGTCTATATCAGGTATGATTGGAATGTCAACATCGTTATTGAAATCGATTACATTATTTTCGTTGCGGAATCTTTCACTTAAAGAATAATATTAAAAGAAAATTGTGTGTGAAACATTAATTACTCGTCTTGTAAGGGTATGCTCCTAAAATGAAGACAATATTAACCCGATGTGTATCACGTATGGCTTGTACCTCGCCGCGGTGTTTTCCTCTGCCCACCCGCTTGACCTTTGAGGATGAGTGCTTGTAACTGGCGATCCTATGCTCATACTTTCAAGAGCCCTGCTAATCAATTCATCGCTCGACTCGGGGCTGTTTGGTTTTGCAGCTCTGCGGCCTTGTTTTACTGCAGACTACAAATACGAAAAGTCACAAAAATTGTTATTCTTTAGTTTGATGTACCCGTTTTTCAACTAAATATTTTATATCTTCTTCCAAATTCATACTCGTTTAATTTGAGGGACACGAAAGAAACGGCACAAAACACAAACTAAGCTTGGTTTTAAATGTGAATTGTGTACATTGAGGTGCAAGAAGTGGTTGCTATGGAATGCAGTGGCGTAACTACAATGCATCAAAGGTAGGTACGCAATGAGGACGAGCCCCGACTTAAAATAGGCTCCGGAAAAAAATGTTCAAAAATTTAATTCGTTTATACAACATTCTGAAAAAAATTGAAAAAAACGAAGGGCCATGCACATGCTTACTTTTACAGTTTATAGTTACAGTCCGAAGAAAATTCTGAATCATTGTTCACGGAGGGTAAATAAATAACGAAGTCTCTTACATAAAGTACATGAAATACTTTGTTAATTAGCGAGACCTTCTCCAATCCAGAAGGTATCTGGAGGTCCTGGATATAGTAACCTTAGACTGAAGTTGTATTTCGAGATGAGTAATTTTAACACTCCACCTCTGTACGAATTAACAGACATTTAAAAAAGGGCAGATTCATACACAAAGAATTGAAGTCGCTAATCAGTAATCAAACTAAACGAGTTTAAACATCGAAGGAACTGGCCAATATTAAACAAATCAAAATAAGGATAACATTTAAAATGAAACAATTAAATAACAAACAAATTCAGGGATTACGCACCCCTAGTTACAAATAGTCACAATAAAACGAAGAGTTACAAATAAAATTAAGAACATTATTACCTTTTGTTATGGCACACAAATCTTGACAGTTAAAGTTCGAACAAAATCAATTGGATTCTGACTGAACGCAGTGACGCAAAATGTTACAGTGGATCTGTGAACCATTGAATTACAAAATGCTAAATCAGCAAAGCTAAATCAAGACACTATTTCTACATATACAGATTAACATCGTTTAAAAATTGTTGATATAAGGAAAGGGCCCCCAAATATTTTTGAAAACGGGCCTCTAAAATGAAGTTACGCCACTGATGGAATGAAACCATGGTCATACTCCCATAATTACTGGCGCGATATACACCTGACACGCAATTAGTGCCGATTTCATGCAATGTTCTAGCACAGATAAACGGAGCTCCGTTTATCTGTGGTTCTAGTAAATATTGTTTATTCTTAAATATTATTTATTATGGATTGTTTATTTTTAATTAAAATACAGGGATACCAGCGAGTTGGGGTAAAGTGAAAAAGTCTCTAGGTAGTGTGGAGCGCGTCCGTTAAATCAAATCTTGGATGGAGTTAATTCCATATGAAATGCACAAATATGGGTTGTACCTACCCTTAGAGAAGGTTTCTTCCAAAGTGGGGAGGGGGAGGTCATTTTTTACCCCAATTCAATCCCTAGTCGAAATTGAGAATATATAATCTAAACCTCTCGCCAGGAAAGATTGCCGGTCACAGAAGACCTGATCCCGGTCTACAATCTGTGTTTTTCTAAAGATGTGAGCGACTTCCGGAATATAGGAGCGTGCCAATGTTGAACGAAAAGTCTTTTCGTTCGACATTGGCACGTTCCTATTCCGGAAATCGCTCGCCACTTAAAAAAAACATTGACTGTAAATTGACACAAGGTGTGCTGTGACCGGCAATCTTTCCTGGCGAGAGTTATATCAGGTTTTAAAAAAAAATGTATTATAATTAGATCAAAAACGTTAATCTAGATATCCTACATCAAAATAAAACAAATGAATGTGTAGGTACTTTTGTTACCATTTTATTGCTAATTTCATTTTGTCTTCAAGGTTTAATAAGAAACGTAAACGTTCATTTGTTTTTTTATGTAGTATATCTAGATTAATGTTGTTGATTGGACTATACGTTTTTTTGAAAAATGTTCTTGTATGTTACATCATCGAAACGAGAAAAAAAATCTCTATCAAATGAACCTAATGAAAAGGTGCACTGCCATTTAAAAAAATTCAATTGTTATTCGTTGCTCATTTGTTTTCTGAAATTAAAACAACTGAATGCTGCCTTATTATGGGAAATAAAATGTTAAACAACTTTCATATAGCAAAATGTTGTATACATTTGATATTTATTGAGATATTTACTTTATTATTCCATACATAATGGGCACCCTGTACTTGGTACCCTTAAAAACCGCAAAGGAGTCCGATGTATAGATAGACGTAGCCAAAAAGTAGCGAGCTTATTGATGCAATCAAACAATAATTATGTATTATGCAACGAGCTCATCCTTCTTTATGGTAAGTGGGTACTTACCGTACCTGGTACAAGAAGCTTTACAAAATTGACGTAACTACCTACTCAACCGCCAAATGGCAAAATTTCGTAGTCAAATATTTGTGGACCCTTCTCCTCTTTAATTTTTGTTTTTTTAATTTTCCGTTGCAATATGCGCTAGTTTTTTTCAAAATTGCTACAAGTTACGGATGAGTAAAAGGGCCATATGTCTCCACCTCATAAAAGTTAGATAACGTCATTATTGGCGGCAAAGCTACGCGGGAACGTATAACAATAAAGCCCTACAGAGCGAATAATACAAAAACAATATCCACCTCATCTTCGTGCAGGTCTCAAGCCCAACAAATTACATTAGGGGCACATCATCTTTATGAGAATACCTACATTATTGTTGATCATCGATAATAACATTAAAAATCCACCTCTTTTGGACTTTTGCAATATTTTACCAGGAACCGTCTTGGTGATTTATTATTAACATGAATTTGCAATTTAATGTTGCAAAATAAGTAAGTCTTCAAATACTAATAGTTTGACTTTTTGTTGAGGTCACGAAAAAGTCCCCCTCACCGTTATACACCGGTCGCAAATGAAATCAAGTTTGGCCCCTCTTTTTACCACACTATGTCGCTATATTTCACGACCGCCCACTAAAGAAAGTAATCCCAAGAAGCATTTGCCAGAAAAGTGCAAGAAAGTAATACTTGACCATATGCAGACGGTCTGTGGTCTGCAAATTTACCATCGGCAGATGGGTTTGGATTACGGTGACAATGGCTGCTACGTTAAAGAAAGCTAATGGATTGTGTTTAATCTTCTATTATTGTTTAAGTTTGTGCATTATTAATTTGGGTAAGTGCCAGTTTAATTTATCCCGAATTACCCAAAAGTGTCAACATTAACGGAAATAGAAAGTCTATTTTAGAAAGTTTTAATTGATTGAGTAAAGTTGCTAAGAGACCACCTAGAAGAAATTCTGTACTTAACCATTGTGGCCCACAATTACATAAGTTCATTGATGTTTTGTGAAGGTGCAGAGGTGCTCCACCAGAAGATGGGCGTGTAAATTGTAACAAATATTTAAAAAGTTGGGCCTTGAATATGGTTATTTATTACGTTTCTTTAGGTGTGCATTCCACCGATCGAGGTTGAAATGGAAAGTACCTACGATTTTAATGTTGTTTATTATGTTTTTGTAATTAACACAAAATTTAGGAAACGAAAATCGGATACCATTTTTGGGCCCTTAAACTGCATTCGATCCAATTAACTGCGGTAAAGTGCCATATATGACTATTGCTTTAAACGTGTTAACCTTTTGCGGTAGGTACTTTTCTTTGCCTTGACCTTCACCAAACCGTTAAATTCCTTAAAAATTCAAATTGTTTTCGACCTTGTCGTTTGCAGGGTCAATAGCGGCACAGAATGCGGATAGTAATGTAAAAAAGAAAGATGAAGAATTTACGTGTCCCGAGGGACTGGGGAATGGTAATTATGCCGATCCTCAAACATGCAGACGATTTTATCAGGTAAAATGTAAATACGAATTGCGATGATCGTGAACGAAATAGAAACGTTTTTTAGTGCGTGGATGGTTACCCTTACCTTAACAGATGTCCTTCGGGCCTACGTTTCGACGATATCTCCAAATTTTGTACGTTCCCAAATGAGGCGCGATGCGGACCAATAATACCAAGTAATACCCTTAATGTTTATCACTTTTTATAACTTACTTTTGATATTATAAGCACCAGCACCGTCCACCGAACCGCCAATTGACTTAGCAGTAAAGTGCAATCCGGAGGAATGCCTCTTGCCTGAATGTTTCTGTTCCAAAGATGGTACCAATATACCTGGAGACTTCACACCATCGGAGGCAAGTATGCGCTAACAAACTGGCACGAAACACTGCAGTATCTGTTCGACTATTTTCAGTCAACCCCCTAGATAATTGAAATAGGTAGGGTTTTTTTTATTACTGCACATTGATCAAAATGTAATAAAATTGATTTATTAATGCACATGAGAGGGTAGTTGGTATTTTTGATTTTTTTTTCTGTAAAAGTATGTCCCCCAAGATAAAGCGTTTTTATCCTGCGTTCATTTTAGAAGACTGAAGAAAATGATATATCAGGTTTCGGTTACTCACACTAAAATCTCTCCCTTGATTAGCGAAAGCAACAATATTCAAATGAATTAATATGCCATCCACGTCTTTATTGGTTTTAAGAAGTTATTTTGGTTGCATAAAATTAGGCGCCCTTTAGAAGCGATTTTGTCATTTAAAAATAGACTTGGGGAAAAACAATACATGAAAACGCTACATGTCCCTCTGTATATGTACGAGGTTCAAACATATTTGGATTTGGTTTCATGAGTTAGTTCAACCTGTTCTATCTCTGGGATGTAGGTCTTTTAATTAGTCGTAATTACTAATGAGCTACAACGTTGGGAGGAAATGGACCATTAATATTGTTGATTTTTTCTGAGGCACAAGTGAGCCGCAAATGATCTGGGCGACACGGGAATTATGCGTTTATTTAAACGTAAACATGAAAGTAATTTTATATAAACAAACTAAAAAGAGAAAAAACAACCTAATTCCTACTAATCACTAATTCAAATATCCCTAAATCTAAATAACCCTATCTTAAAAATGTAATGATTATCCCCACATATACAAATTTCAATAATTAAAAGTTATATGACAATATAAACGCGCTTATATAGATGCTTTGCCGACTATGTGTCTCATTGGTAGGGTGTTGGATTACATAACCGGAAGGTCGGGTGTTCGAACCTTGGCAGGTAAGAATTTTTCATCTGTGGCAGAGATGGGAATATCTTTAGATCAATTTCGAGCATTCTGCCGCTTACTCCGAATTAGGTTTTCCTAATTAATTCGTAAGGTAAATACCGGAGTAGTATAGAACAACTTAAGACCTTCTGCATGGGCACCTCTAAAAAGCATTATACGGGTCACTCTGGGCACAAGCCTGTTGAGGGCCCAGAACAAGAGAGGAAAAATAAATAAATAAATCACTTTTAGTTCACATGCAATTATGCAAAACGTAGATAATGAAAGATAATAGGTATCTTTATTAATGATGCAGCTTGGTGACTTGAGCTGGTTATCCTTGTCGCTATTTTAGATCAAGTTGCAGTCTGATAATGGTGGCGTGGGACTTAATTTCAGTTTCATTCGTACTCTGCTTCCCAAATTCGCTTAATATTGTTCTAAAATTTAGTGTTGGCCGGTGAAAACAATCGCAGGCTGGTTAATAAAAATAAACACAGATTTTCAAAAGGCTGTAGGTACAATTTCCTCGATGGAGCTGATGAATATACATAATACACTGTCAACCTTTCAGTTACACTGTCATATTCGAATTCTACCCTACTGTACAAGGTAAAAAGAAATTAACTTTTTTTTTTAAATAAAACGGTAGGCCATTACTACGCCATTATATAAGATTTACATATATGGTATCTCGCAAAAAACAAAAAAACAAGATATACATGCGCAATTTTTATTTTGCATGGCCTGCTTAAAAATTTTTTACAAAAAATAAAATCCACACATATTATTATACCGGGTGAATACTTTCAAACCGAACATAGGGAATTAACATGGGAAAACAGTTTTTCGCAGATTGTTGCTCCCCAAATTAACTTTGAGAGTTCATAATGCCACCATTTGAAAGAAGATTTTTTTCCGCGTTTTATGATATGCAAATTATTAACGTCTAGTTGCACGTTTAATTATTATTTTGCGAAATTAGGACAATTAGGTAGGTAGTCAAAATGTGTACTTGGTTTAAAAAATCACTATAGTCATGAAAACAAGTTATGATAACTGTCAATAACTTTAATTTGTACTTACTACAAAACTTACGATGTATTCCATTGCGGAAAAAGTGTTTATTGTTGACGGCGGTAATAATTACCGCAGAGTGCGAGATTTATTTTCCGTGGAATTTAATCAAACTTCTATTCCGTCAATATCGACAATACGAGAGATAGTTTTTCAATTTGACAATTCCGGATGCTTACCTAAATCTACGGGTCATGGCTACATGATTTTCGGAGTTCATTTTATTTTGGGAATTTTTGATAAAATAATGAGAAAATACGAATAAAATTTAACTAATTCGCATTTAGTTAGATGAGAAAAAAATCTTCTTTCCAGTGGTGCCATTATGAGCCCTCTAAGTTAATTTGGGGAGCAACAATCTGCGAAAAACTGTTTTCCCATGTTAATTCCCTATGCTCGGTTTGAAAGTATGCACCCGGTGTATTATACTTATATATTATTGGTGAGAAATTTGTCACATTCAACGAATACATTTTCATTGGGAGATGGGAAGAGGGAGAGTGAAATTCCCCCGTTCAAGAAACTCTAGTGGTGTAATTTCAGTAAATCTAGTCGATGGCTAGATTGCTGATTACATACATTATTCAATTTTTAGTTAAAAAAATTTCAAAATCAATCAAAACTTTTCATTGGGTGGTTGGGGAAGGGAGGCTGAACCCCGCGTACATAGAACTTTGAGGATATAATTTGAGTAAATCTTGTCGATGACTTTGGAGAGTACCTCCATGGCGAACAGAAACAATAAAAAAAACGAGGATGGTCTGCGCTATTTTTATTTTGAATACATACTTAAAAATAAGCTATTGTTTAATTTGTTATAAAGAAGTGGGAGTAAAATTCGCTCCCAAACTTTTTTCTATTTTCTTTGTGACAAAGTCGCCCCGATAAATTCGCTTCTAAAAATCTCCCTCTCACCTCTGAATAATCGTTTGCAAGAGAGAGCCCCCCCTAGATGAATTTGACCCCTGTATTCTAAAGCGTCTATTCTACAGTTTTCATTTATTTTGTAACAAATTGGTTTTTGGAAATCATCCTTTTGAATTAATATTTCCTTCCGACTGTACCGCTAAGGAGACTCACTTCGCTAAATTCCCTCGGAAAATTTTCCTACAAGAAAATGAAACTTGATCTTCTTTAAATGCAACCACTGTACAGGGTATCTATAAAAGAACTCCGGGGTTTTAAGACAAAATATTTTAATACAGTAAAAAACGTACATACATGTTTTATACATGATTAGAAAGCTTACATTTTCAAGATTTTTTAACAACTTAGTAAAGTTCAATGTGAGCTCCGTTAGTTAGTTAGTCCAGACGACACTGACTGCCTACCGCAGCCGTTACGTCATTTCACGGTCAACGCTCCGCAGCGCTGCCAACTGTTGAGAGAAACATTCCCAATTCGTATGAGTAAAACTCTTTGAGCTGCTTGTTTCAAAGGAATTGATCAAATTTTGCTATCTTTTATAGTTTAAAAAATATTAATTTTTTAAACCCCGGAGTTCTTTTATAGACTCCCTGTATTTTAACGTCAATTTTTTTGGATTCTTTTTCGTGATTACAGTGATGTACTACCACTATATTTTTTTATAATTTTTCAAAATTTCGAAATGGTGTGTTGCTACCGTCAGCAATTTTTATTGATTGGTATCGGCGGATGCCTTAGTTACAATGGATACAATAAATAACACAAAAGTAAAATAAAGTTTTGATTGATTTTCAGTCAAATTTCAGAAACTTTTTGTTTTCACCCTGTATCTCAGAAAGAAACGTTGCTAGATTGGTTCTGTTTGTGGTATTATACGTTTCACAAAAAAAAATGGCAAAGGGGCACGAAAACCGCGAGATTCTTTAAAAACATCTGAGATACACTGCAGGACGTCTCAACCAAAATCGGACACAGGGTACAATTAAATTTTATAATTTACATACATCGTGACGGGCCGCAGGGGCGGACTGGGTACTTACGGGGCCAGGTGGAATTGCATAGGTTACGGGCCATTAAAGTATTAGTGTAGTAATGAAGGTGGCGGGGGGGTAGCTCTGCGGTGCACCACAAAAACATTTTTTTTGCTTCATTTTAGTACTCCTTTTTCGGAAATCAATTACAATATACAGTTTTTTTTTAAATTGCAGCTGAATAATTAAAACTTTTGATTGAGACGTCCGATCGAAAAAGTACGATTTGTTTTGGATTCTACGCACCAAAATTAATAAGAAAAAGTGTTTTCCCGAGAAATTTTGGTGCAGTCGATTTTTGGTAAAAAAGGAAGGTTATACACTGCCTTTTTTTGAGCCCGAAAAAAAAATTGTCTCAGATCGACCCGGAAAAAAAATTTTCTTATAGAATGTGGCCTGTAGAATCCATAATTTCAAACAGTTCCAAGATTGGGCTTCTAGTTCAAAAGTTACAGCCCTTTGAATTTTCTTTCGAAATTGGTTTCTAGTCCCATAACTTTTGATTGAGAAGTCCGATCGAAAAAGTACGAATTGTTTTAGATTCTACGCACCAAAATTAATAAGAAAAAGTGTTTTCCCGAGAAATTTTGGTGCAGTCGATTTTTGGTAAAAAAGGAAGGTTATACACTGCCTTTTTTTGAGCCCCGAAAAGAAAATTGTCTCAGATCGACCCGGAAAAAAAATTTTCTTATAGAATGTGGCCTGTAGAATCCATAATTTCAAACAGTTCCAAGATTGGGCTACTAGTTCAAAAGTTACAGCCCTTTGAATTTTCTTTCGAAATTGGTTTCTAGTCTATAACTTTTGATTGAGAAGTCTGATCGAAAAAGTACGAATTGTTTTGGATTCTACGCACCAAAATTAATAAGAAAAAGTGTTTTCCCGAGAAATTTTGGTGCAGTCGATTTTTGGTAAAAAAGGAAGGTTATACACTGCCTTTTTTTGAGCCCCGAAAAAAAATTGTCTCAGATCGACCCGGAAAAAAATTTTCTTATAGAATGTGGCCTGTAGAATCCATAATTTCAAACAGTTCCAAGATTGGGCTACTAGTTCAAAAGTTACAGCCCTTTGAATTTTCTTTCGAAATTGGTTTCTAGTCAGGGGCGGGCCAGGTGGAATTGCATAGGTTACGGGCCATTAAAGTATTAGTGTAGTAATGAAGGTGGCGGGGGGTAGCT